TGCTAACCAAACCCTGACCCCTCTTGGTAACAGAATCAGAAATATACCTTTCTTGCACAACTTCCTCTCTGTAATCATATTGTTCAGTGGAAATGTAGTAACCCTCTTCTTTTCAATTCTGCAGTATTTTCAGGGGTGATGTAGAAGAAGATGCATAAGAAATTGAAGCATAAGAAATAATAGTATAGGAAACTGAAAGACATGGTTTATGAGCTGGGTGCTGTCACTCATAGTTGTGTGATAATGTATTCCTCTTAGTCTAGGTTTCTTCCTCATCTATGAGGTAGGAATAATGATACTTATGTTAGAGTTTGCTGAGAGGATTGAGTGATGGCATTAATGTTCAATAAATGCTAGTTTCAATCTCTGTACTACTGACATCTTGGGCCAGATGATTCTTTGTTGAAGGGTAGTCCTTTCATGGTAATTTATTCAACACTTACTCTTCTTTTGATGTTTGTCAGAGGCTTGTTTATGGCCCTTTCCCTTTCAATAACTTTATTACATAGAACAGGGAACCAGGGTGGGGATTTGACTGGTTACTGCTATATTTATTTTCACTAAAATCCCAGGATTAGGTAAATAAGCACAATACTGCTGTATGGTTCCATAGCATCTCATGTGAGCCTCGAGGAGCATCTTCATTTATCTCTGGTATGCCCCCTCTGACAGGTGGACCACATTTTGGATATTCAGGGATTAGTGTCAATTCAGAGCTAGTATCCAGTAACCTTCAAAAGGATTGCCTTTCTGCAGTAGATAGCCACTGTGTGTGTGTGGGGGGGGTTGCTGCATATTGTTCTTGTCAAAAGTGGGAGAACAATAGCATATACAATGTGGTCATGTTTTGGGCCCCAGTAATCTTAGTTTAATCCTCCTTGCCCTAATATCTTTTGAATGTATTCCACATTTGCTCCCCAGACTCCTGCTGATAAAATTGGTTTATACTCTGCAGTTATTTTTGGTGTAAAGGTAGTCTTCTCAGAGTAGAGCTTGAACTTCTTTCTGAGCTCTTTTGGATTATGAGACTATTATAAAGAGTAGTTGGAGTAGCTTCTGAAGAAAACTGGTGTCCCTCTGTCAAACAACTTTGAAAGGGTGTTGAGGGTGAGGTATTGGAAGTATGGACCTCCTCAGAGGGATCAAGTAGCTGCTTTCAGCAGGGAAGTTCAGCAGAATTAGAATTCAGTGTTCTTATTCTCATTTTTGTTTGCACAGATTTCTACATAATTGAGATTATTCTACTTTCCAGACAGTACTCTTATGTTAACATATTAGAATGCAGGTTTGCTTGTTTAATTGGCTTTGGAACCCTTTCCATCAAACTCTAGACTTAATCCTTAGTTCTCTCAGCTTGACAGCTATGAGGTAAGACCTTCTAAGCCATAGACTTTCCAGCCATCTATTTGGAAATTCACAGCTTTCAATTGCTTTGTGGACATTCTCCAGGATAGCCAGAAGCTGCCCCAGCCTTTTTTGCCATCTGTGAAGTCAGTGTGTTCATCAGCTACTTGGATTTCCAGCACCCTGCCCTTCACCTGCATTCCATCCTGTAAAGAGAGTCTAACAATGGGATTGTTTATTAAGGAGTTAAAGACAAGGCTAAGGGTACCAAGCAAGGGATGGTGAACGCATCGTTCTCCTCAGCAAGGTCAGGAAGCTGTTATTACTCCTAGGCTTTCAACTATAACTGTGGGAGAAGGGGATGCCTAGTAGAAACTGTGGTCTTAGGAAGCAAAATAATTGCTGTCAGAAATAGAGCAGGAGGCATAAATAACTTTAGAAACCATAAGGAGTAGCAGTTGAACCTTGTCTTTGACAAAGGAGCCAACCATCCTCACTGGAGGAAAGATAGCCTCTTTAATAAATGGTGTTGGAAAAACTGGATTTCAACTTACCAAAGATTAAAACTAGATCCCTATCTTTCACTGTGCACTAAACCAAATAGATTAAAGATCTAAATATTGAAACAGAAATACTAAAGTTGCTGGAAAATAAATTAAGTAGAGTTCTTGAAGACATTGGCATAGGAAAAGACTTTATGAACAAATCCTGAGCAGCATGAGAACTTACACAAAGAATCAACAACGGGGATCTCATCCTATTAAAAAGCTGCAACACAAGGGAAACCACCAACAGAGCTAAGAGACAACCTACAATGTGGGAAAAAATTTTTACCAGCTGCTCCTCAGACAAAAGACTGCTATCTAGAATATATAAAGAACTCAAAAAAAATCTTACCCCCAAAATAAAAAGACCCAATTCAAAAATGGGCATCTGAAGTGAACAGACATTTCTCAAATAAGTAAAAGCAGCAAATAAATATATGAAAAAATGTTCAACATCACTAGTCATTCAAGAGATGCAGATGAAAACAACACTGAAATTTCACCTTGCTCCAGAAAAAATGGCTGCTATCAAGAAATCAACCAATAATAAATGCTGGTGGGGCTGTGGGGAGAAAGAAACCCTTCTCAATTCTTGGTGGAAGTGCAGACTGGTGCAACCACTGTGGAAATCAATATGGAGATATTTGAAAGAACTAGGACTAGAGGTTTCATTTGACCCAGCTATCCCTCTGCTGGGCATCTTTCCAAAAGCATTTAAAAAATCATGCCACAGTGATATATGTGCACCCATGTTTATAGTGGCACAGTTTGTAATAGCTAAAACTTGGAAACAGCCCAATTACCCATCAACTGGAGACTAGAGAAGGTGTGGTTTTCTATAAAATGGAATACTGGGGCCAGGGATTTAGCTCTGTGGTTCCACTGCCTGCCTTGCAAACACAAAGTTCCAAGTTTGATTACTGGTACCAAAAAAATAAAATAAAGTGAAGTACTACTCAGCCATAAAGAATGAGAAATTAGAGTTATTTATAGCTAAATGGATGTACATTGAGGCCATACTCTTAAGTATAATAAATAGGACACACGAGTAAATACCAAGTAGTTCTCTGGTGTGAAAAACTAAATAAGGTCCAAGTGGTATAATTGATAGTGTGAAATAGAAAGAAAATAGCTAAGCAGAAGGGGATGTTGGAGGGAAGTTGGAAGGGTAGGGAAAGGAAATAATGGAAAAGAAAAAAATATGAAAACAGTCTTTGTAAACAGGGAAGGGTGAAGGGAGTGAAGGAAGGGCAGGGGAATGGGGAAAAAATAAGAACCAAGATAAATCATGTAAAGGTACAAGATCCCAGTAACAAATGTAACTGTATTGTTTGCTTTAAATGTACCAAAAACTTAGTGGGGAGGGTAGCAGTTGGCATGGTTGGGAGTAGCATTTACCAGGCAGGGTAAATGGATACTGTCTAGCACAATTTCCAGAGTGGAAGCTCCAGCCCAGATTGAGCGTGTTCCTTGACCGCAGGCTTCTACACTCAGCTGCCTTCTCTTCCTGTATTGGATGTCCCCTGGGTACTTTCTGTGAAACAGCTTATCCAGCTCTTTCCTTCATGTCATGCCACTCAGTGTGATATCCTACTGTCCCTTCTAAAGGGAAGGCCCAAGGCCTTATATTTTCCTAAATCTGTTCTTGTACGCTGTAGCATAGTGAGGCACAGACATTTAAGTTTGTACATAATAAAGTACCAGTGAAACCTACCACCTATATCCTACATTCTCTCTCTCTTTTTTTCATCTGGTTTGGTTTTTTGAGACAGGGTTTCACTTTGTAATTCAGACTGGCCATGAACTCATGGCAATCTTCCTGTCTCAGCTTCCCAAGTGCCAGAATTACACCCAGCTCCCTCCCTCCCTCCCTCCTTCCCTTCCTTCCTCTCCCCCACTTACTTTCTGTCTGTCTGTCTTTCTTTCTTAGTACATGATTGCAGTACATAATGCTTACTTCCTTTCTGGAGCGCTGATAGATGTACATAATACCATTTAATTCATTTTTCATCTCCTTCTCTTCCCCACCCTTCCCTCTTCCTCCATTTCATGATGGTTAAGCTAGGCGTGGTGGTGCATGCCTGAATCTCAGTGCGCTGGGAGGCTGAGGCAGGAGAATCTCAAATTCAAGCCCATTCTGCAAGACCCTTTACAAAATTTTTTAAAAAGAAAGAAATAAAAAGGGCTAGGGATGTAATTCAGTGCATAACCCTGGGTTCAATCTCCCTTACCAATAATAATAATAATAATAATAATAATAATAATAATAATAATAACAGCAAATTGTCAAATACAACAAAAGCCATGTCCTACATTCTCAACAGAAAGATGTGGATAGTATAGCTCATAATTTTCCCCCTCTAGCCAATGTTGCAGGTTGAGAAGGGTGAACTAAGATGGATCCTGGGTAAAGTTAATCTGTCTTAGTAGAGTGATGGGGGCTCCCTCTGCTCTACTACTTAACCAGTAGATGACTGTGACTGGAGGGTGAGGCTCTGGTCATCCAACTAGAGTTCCTTTTTTTTTTTTAATTGAGTTTATTGGTACATTTTAGGTATACAGTACAGTTACATTCATCGTTGGGATCTTGTACCTTTACGTGACAGGTCTTGGTTCTCATTTTTTCCCCTTGTCCCTGCCCTCCCTTCACCCCCTACTCTCCTCCCCATTTACAAACACTTTATTTCCATCTTTTCTTTTCTCACATTTTTTTCTTTTCCCTTATTACCTTTCCCCTACCCTTCCCACTTTCCCTACACCTTTATCCCTTTTCTTCCAATTTCACATTGTTAATTATCTCATTAGGATCTTGTGTCCTATTATAGTTTTTCATATCAGAGAAATTATTCCAACTAGAGTTCCTTGATGCGAGTTAACCCTCACTCCACATGACCTGCAGAATATAAACTTGTGGAACTTCTGTAATAAGGAAGGTACATGGGATACAAATGTTTGTGGGTTCGTGAAAGGAACATAACAAAATCTCTAACCCACACTGAGCAATAGTAAATTCCTACCAGAATAAACATCAGACGGATCCTACTTAGAAAGAATGACAGATGGTAATACTAGTTTAAAACTGTTTTGCTAAAAATTTTTTTTTCTGTTAAGGTTTCATGATGGAATTTGAACATTACCTCAAGAGGCTTCATATTTTGAATTAGTTCATTGTTCTCATCCTCCTGGTTATTTCTTTGGACTCATTTTTTGATATCACTTTGAGGTATTAAATACAAAAAGAGGATACCATGGACTACAAGGAAAGCTGTCCAAGTGTAAGCATTCCCAGCTCTGATGAACACAGAGAGAAAAAGAAGAGGTTTACTGTAAGTATATAATGTAATGCATACGGGGAAAAGTGGTTACAGAGGATATTCCTGTGCCGTGATTTGTTCTCCCTAACCAGAATGCACCTTGTCCCCTATATCCAGATTTTACTGTGTGTGTGTGTGTGTGTGTGTGTGTGTGTATGTGTGTGCACGCACGTGCATGCACATATGCATGGTACTGGGAGTTGAACCCAGCACCTTTGCATGGAGCAATGCTATCCCTGTCCCTTTTTATATTTTTTTATTTTGAGACAGTCTTAAATTGCTAAGTTTTCAAGGCTGGGCTTGAATTTGCAATCTCTTGCCTCAACCTCCCTTTGCATTGAGATTATAGACATGAGCCACTATGTCTGGCTCAAATTTTTCTTTTTTAGTGTAAAATTTTGTCTATTTACATGTCCCCTTAGAGAATCTTATGACACTGTCTCATGGATCCTCTTAACCAGAAAATGTATGCATTTGTACATGTTTATCTGCCTACTGATAATTTTATGTGTCCTGTCAGGTATCATGGGCTCCTGAAGTCACAGGTCCCATATTAAAAACTGCTGTCTTGAACTTTCCACAGTATATTTCTTATGGTTTTTATTCTTTTATATCATATAAAAATAATTTTTAAAATATTCTACTTTATCTCTTTTTTCACTTTTATTTTTTAACACCTACTGTAGTATCTACTGTAGGACTTTAGAAAGCATATATACAAGGAATTTTTGCTGAATCCATATGATCAGTGACTATTATTGGAGAGTAGTCATCTTTCTGATTATAATGAAATATACAATATTGTTTTAATTCCAGTAGTTTGGTTAATATATGCAGAGATCTCCTGCTCTTGTTCTCCTGAAAAAATAATATTATTTTTCTTACTGGTAGCTGATCTAGTCTTCCCTGTAAGTTTCCCTTTGCCCCCAGTGAGTAGTGTGAAGTTCATTTAATGTAATGCTTTTAATATTTAGTTTGATCTCAATAAAAATGTCCAGGTTGTCACAATTCTGCTTTTCCCCCCCTCTGCTTCCCCAGGTTGTTATCTTGGTTTATGGGAGAAGCGTTCCTTTTCACAGGGTCTGTTGAGAAGACTGACCTCATAGTAGCCTGGTGGAGGCTTTTGTACTTTTGACATCCTTCTAATTCAGTGGTGCCAAACCTATGCCACACATACCACTGCCAGCTGTTTGCTATCATTGAAAGCTTCAAAAGATTCACTGCCACTGTTCTAGATCTTTGCTGTTCTGATTTTAGAGTGGCCAGTCTGGCAAATATCCAGCTATGGTTGACATGATCTACCCTTGGGCATTTAATCAGTATCCATTGCTGGCATCTGCAGTTCCTGGACTAACTGGATCTCTTCTTCTCTGGTTTGCCCAGGTTCTTAGAGGTGCTCCCTGTCCATTCAGTGCCTTGGCTCTTGAAGCTAAAGAACCACCTGAGGTTTTGACACATCTTTTCCTGCTTTTGGCTCAGTGGCCCACATCTGCCCTCTACTGAGGGACTCACCTGTTGGGCCTCATGACAAATAACTTTCAACTCAGAGTCCATGGCACATAGGAATTGAGGAAAGCTGAAAAGTTAAACTAAACTCTTTGTGTAGCATTGCACGCTGCTTTCTTAACTATTGGGGGCTGAATTCCCCCAAATAGTTGCTTTCTCCCAAGGTCTCAGTTAGGCAGCAGGAAAACAGTCCATCATCCCATTCTCCTGCCTTCTTAAATAAACACATCTCCTATGTCCTGCACTAAAGCACAGAGTAGAGGTATTGGAGTGTGTATCTGGCTATTTACCTGCCCTCAGCCTCTGCATTCCAGGATTATCTTTACAAATATGCATTTGCTACACATTAGTATAAGCATATTTTTAGCAATATCACATTGAAGATAAACAAGATAAAATAGCAGGATGTGTGCAAGTTTTTCCCGTTTCCATCAGTATTTATTGTTTTTGTTGTGAGACAGGCTTTCTCTTTGTAGCCCTGGCTAGCCTCAAATTGTGATCCTCCTGACTCAGTCTCCCAGGAACTAGGATTACAGTCTTGTACCACCATGCCAAGCTTCCTCTCCTTTTTACCCCCTTTTGGCCATTTTCTCCTTCAGCGACTTATATTACAAATGTGGGCAGTTGGTTATCTCAGATGTCTTGATTTTCAGATAGAGGTATTTCTGTATCTTCTTGGAAAGGATCAGGAAGGCCTTTCAAAGTATTCTTAGCTGTTCCAGTGCTGTGCCCTGAGTTCTCAGAGGCCCTGTCTAAATCACCTTGTTCGTTTACTTTCTTAAAATTCTCAATTTTGTCTAATTTAAGAGGCTCATCTGGCTACTTAAAATATAAAATAGCACCTTTGCACCCTATCCTATCCCTTTTACTCTCTGTCCTACTTACCATACTTAAATTAATAGTTGTTATCACCACCTGACATATTTTGTGTGTTTTTATATATCCCTTGCCTGCTGGAATGCAAGATACTTTGAAGCAAGAACTTTATTCTTTCCCCAACCCCTAGAATAGAAATAGTAAATGTTCCTTGAGTATTTGTTGAGCTGCTGTTGAATGAAAATAGTACTAAGTTCATGTGATAGTTGCTAGATCACTACGGTGCAGTCCTCAGTTCTCAAGAAACTTGGTTCTAATCAACTCGTTTAGACCCCCACCTGTCTTTGTCACTGGGACAAAATACCCAACACCCGCAACTCCAAGTAGAAGAAGTATATTTTGGCTTACGTTTTAGAAGTTTTGGTCCATACATGGTCAGTCAGTTCCAGACAGAACTGGCATACAGAAAGTGCCTGAGTGGCGGAAAGCTGTTCACTGCATGTTGGACAGGAAGTAGAGAGGAAAGGCAGAACCAGGAAGGAAGATATACCCTACCAGTTCATGCACCCAGTGACCCACCTCTTCCAACCAAACCCCATCTTTTAACAGCCCGTCAGCTGTATCACCCCCCATAATCCAGTCACCTTTCAGAAGCCCCACTTTTGAGGCTTGGGGAGTGTGCATCCAGATATAAATTAGAGTGCAACTGCACCAAACATAGACTCAGCCAGCTTCAGCAAGCCCAGATGCTTGTATTACACTTAGCAACAAAACAGACATTGTATAAATAGCCAATAATATTTTTATGTCTTTTATCTATTCTTTAGATAAAACTTCTAGCAGTCATATGTTGCAGTCTAGAGTGGGTTTTTTTTTTTTTCTGTTTTATATTTTCTTTTTGGGTGGTACTGGTGATCGAACCCAGGGAGTGCTGGGATATGTCCTCAGCACTTTTTATTTTTTTATTTTGAGACAGTATCTTGCTTAGTTGCTCAGACTGGCCTCAAACTTTTGAACCTGCTATGTCAGCCTCCTAATTTAAGATGTCTTAACCTTTTATACCAATTTTACATTATATTTTTGTCAGTGAATTTCTATATTATGCACTAGAGTTTCAGTGGGAAGCTAGAGTGATACAACCCTAGCTTGTAAGGAATTTACATTCTAAAGAAACACTCAAATAAAAATAATAGGATAATTTAGTATCATAATAAGTGTTACACTGCTTTCTGTGAAATTCTCTTTTGATGACCAAAATATTTTTTAAAATTTGAAGTTTTTGTTTTTGCCTGTTTGTATTTTATTAGAACTTATTTAATAAGCACTTGCTTATAATCATACTGTTAAGTAACTTTACAAGGCCTTATTTCCTGTAAATGTATTTTCTGTAGAGTCCCTACAGTCTGGAATCTAGGCTTAGTTCTAGTTTTTGTTTTGTTTTGTTTTTTTTTGTTTTTTGCGGAGTTTTTTTGTACTTTGATAGTCAGGGGAGGCTTCCTGACCTTTCTAGGGACTACTCTCATCAAGAAGTCAGCACAAAGGCTGAGGATTTAGCTCAGTGGTACGTGACACTGCCTGCCTCACAAGCACAAGGTCCTGAGTTCAATCCTTGATACAAAAAAAAAAAAAAACCCAAAAACAAAAAACCATCAGCACAAAGAATTTAAGAAGCTCACAGTCATAGAAACCAGTTTCTTGTCCTTTTACAGTGCTTCCAGGCCAGCCTAACCCTTAATGCCTTGTCAGATATATCTACATTCTAGTCTTGGTTAACTTTATTGGCGTCTTTTCTTCTTCAGCGTCTTCATCTGGGGAGTGTTAACTAATTCTAACATTAATAAAAAACATAAAACTGAGACTAAAATCTAAATCTTCCATCAGAACCAGTATTAAATCATCAAGTTTTAGATAGATTATACCCAGTAGATCCTTCTTTTTTTGTTATTATTCATCACAACTAACATTATATTATTTAAATAAAATTAGTTTTTATTGATACATCTTGCAGTATATAATGTTTACATTCCATGTAGAGTTGGTACATACACATCTTAATTCCTTTTTTCATCTGTTTTCCTTCCCCTAACTCCGCCTCTTAATCCCCTTCCAATTTGAGAAAGATCTCTCACCTTACTTCTATTATCCATCTTTTATTTTGCTTTTTATTTATAATTTGGGTTTCTCATATAAGAGAAACCACAAAATCTTTAAAATCGTGTGTCTTATTTATTTCACTTAACGTTGCTGTCTTAAGGTACCTTCTTGGTTGACCAGAAGAACCTGATTGTCACATGTATCTCATGTGGTGCCCAAGTGCTTTTTCTAATGATCTGAGTGTTAACATCCTTTGCCCAGGGTGATTGATACCAATGACATTGTCTCAACTTTCAGTGCGACTTTATCCCCTCTCTCACAGAGGAATATGACTTTATATTTGGGTGCCCTTCATTGAAAGTATGGCCCTGTTAGTGCAATAATCTCTTAAAACAGCACTACAGAACTCATACAGTATCAGAACAGTGCTTTTCTAATAGCATTGTCTAATATTAACTTGTGAGTGTAGATTTCCTATCGTTCATGGAAAAGGAGAATTTATACACATTTGTGTGCCTGTCTTCTGTGATAAACCTGGTTTTTTCTTTTAAGGTGTCAAACTGACTTTAGGCAATTATACTGTAAGCCACCAAACCAACTCATATTCCTCATCTAGTCATACTGTAAAAAATGAGATTAGTAACCCAAGCCTTACATCAGCCGTCTTTTCCTCATATAACTGTATTCTTGTTTTTCCTTTAGCAATGATACAAGGTCTGTGGTGTTTTCTGATAACTTCTTAACAATATTTTGAATTATATTCTGAGAGTACCTGTGGGATGAATTAGAGTTATATCTATCTAAAACTTGATGATTTAATACTGGTTCTGATGGAAGGTTTAGATTTTAGTCTCAGTTTTATGTTTTTTATTAAGTGTATGAACTTGGGCAAGTTACTTTTTTGTTCTCATTTAGTAAGTGTTATAGGACTTGTTTTTAATGTCATAGAGTTGCTTATTATGATTCTGTTTGAGAGTACGTATATGAAAATAACAAACTCCTTTGGAATTAGAAAATCTGTGGGTGAATTCTTAGTTTGAAAAATACTGTAGGAAAGATGACCTAGCACAGTGGTGGTGAACCTATGGTATGTATGCATGTTGTTTTTAAGGCAAAAGATGTTAATATATGAGTTATTATTCCTAAACTAAAACCTCAGTATTCAGGTTTAATTTCAGTGTTGGTACTTCGTTATAAATAAGTGGGTTTTGGGTTGCAGTTTGGGCATTCACCTCTAAAGCATTTGCCACCACTCACTGACTTAGAAGGAAGAGAACTTATATTTGACTGTTTTTGCTGTGCCAGGCAAAGCTTTTGAAAATACTTTATAATTTCAGTAAATAGTGCTGGAGAAGAAAAGAGGAAAATGGCATCAATTGAATTTGTAATGTTTTATTCTTAGGAACAAAACCTAAAGGAAGAATGGCCAAATATTAGAATTCAGTAGATCTAAATAATAAGTATATATGTGTTTATTATGTAATTCTCTGAAAATTACTGAAATATATTACAACATTTAAAACATACTTTTTGCCAATACAAACTGTTTCAGTTAATATGCTTATGTACTTGGAGAATCATATATAAACCTTAATATCAGTTTCATGAATGCAAAAAATAATTTATACATATTTAAATAGGTAAGAGGTTTTTTTTGGTCAAAATTTATTAAATTATGTTTTTTTATTTTTACAGGTTTATAAAGTTCTAGTCTCTGTGGGAAGGAGTGAATGGTTTGTCTTCAGGAGATATGCAGAGTTTGACAAACTTTACAACACTGTAAGTAATAGTCTGTAGGATTTCTATTGAAAACAAAACACCTGAGAAAAATCCCAGAATTATATGAATGACTAAATTAATACATATAAAAGGGATTTTCAAAAGAATCCTAACTTTGGAATTCTTACGTAAAAGGATGGAGAAGACTGTTGAGCAGTTCCAAATAAGCCAAGAAAAAGAGAGTTTTTTTCATCGTGATATTTCTGGCTAAACCACCCAACTATAAGCTTTAGATCTGAAAGTCTATTATGAGCCCATTCTCCTTCTGTATTTCATTCTTAGTTAGAAATAAGTCCTAGCTTCCATATTGGACATAGCTAATACAACTGAAATAATTGACTTTCTATCAGTGGCTTGGGGGTGGGGAATAAAAAAGACCAGTAGATCACTAAATAATTAAAGCCAGTACATACGTATATACACACACACAAATATATAAGTATATATTATTCAGGTATTAAAGATATTGATAATCTAGTATCTATAGTTGTATGTACAGTACTTTCCAAAGTAAACAGATAGACTCCAAATCCATTCTAACTCATCAGGCCACATCTCACCAGATGAAAGAGTTCAAAGAATGCCTTCTGAGTTAGTTGTTAGAATCACAAATTAGGACAGCTTTGGATTCCAAGCTTTTCTATGGTTAAGAAAAAAAAAAAGTCCGGGGGTTTAGCTGAGTGGTTCCACAGCGTGTCTCACAAGCGTGAAGGTCCCGAGTTCAATCCCCGGTTCAAAAAAAAAAAAACAAAAAAAGAATATTAATAAAAGGAAGGCTAAAAGAGGATATTGAAAACAAAACTTACCAACTTTCTCAGAAAACTATTGTCAATTTATTCATGTCAAGAGAACATAAAGAGACTGTCTTTTCTTGAGGTAACAACAAATGGTGTTTAATACATTCAGCAAAATGCACAGTTCTAGTTTAAGCAGTTAACATAGACAGTCTCCTTTAAGCCAAATCTAAGATTCTTGCTCAAATTGTCCTCATTTTACAGGTAAGAAAACTGAGGCATAGAGATATTAAGTAACTTATCCAAGGTCACAGAGATGCCAAGTGTTTTATTGGGACCAAATGGGATGATTAGTATGTGGCTGGTATTTTATTGGTAAAATTAAATATTGTACATTGTATGATCATGTATTTAAAAGTATGTCTTGTCTTATGAATTTTCATTAGTATCAGATTGTGTTTGGTTTTAGTGCATGTGTAACTTGAAGACTTATAAACTTAGTTCTTGTAATACAATTTCTAAAACTTTAGTTAAAGAAACAGTTTCCTGCTATGGCTCTGAAGATTCCTGCCAAGAGAATATTTGGTGATAATTTTGATCCAGGTAAGCAATATTTGCATAAACCCACTCTTCAAGTGATGGTTGAAGTTTGAAGAGATAGTTAACATATTCATTGCACTGTATATAGGACTTATAAGGAAAATGGAGCACAATTAGGTTCATTAATTTGCCTAGGGTCAAATACAGGTAGTAAATGGCAGTTTTGGAAGTTAAATTCAAGTGGTCAGTCTTCAGATAAATTTATTAATCATGAGAGATCATTTGAGATCATTCCCCAACATTAAATTGGTTCCATGAAGGATATCCATTCTTTAATTCATTAACTATTATTAAATACATACTCTGTACATAGCAAACTGCATGTCTATATGGGATACCCAAAAGTTTTCCTGTTGTTCACCCTTGAGGACACTAGGGACAGAAAGTGTCAGGAATCTAGAGTCCTGTGTGTTTGAAGCTTCAACTCTGGGACTTTCCCCTAGAATCCAGGAGCTACCTTATATATCTGCTTTCTTGGTCAGCTTAGTTTGTGCTTCCTCCAACCTTGTACCATTCCTTTGCCTTCAGGACCTTTTCACTTTGTCCGTGATTAACAAACTTCTCTTTATCCTCTATCTCTTTAATATTTTTTCATGTTCTTGCTGTAATTGAAGCCTGTCCCATGCCCTACCTACAGCTGTTGATCATCTCAGCTAGAGGTTCTTTGTTTTTTATATTTGATGAATCTCAGGATTATGAATATTTTATTTTCTCTTATAGACTTTTTTTCTCTTGAGAATTACAGCATACTACATTGTATTTGCTAATCTGTCTTATTTAGGATATAGATTGCATGAAGGTAACAACTATATCTTGTTATAGTATTTGGCAAATACTAGGTTTTAAAATACTACAAAGTACATGGATCCATTAATAAAGAGAAGCAAGGGAAAATAGAGTTGGCACAACAAAACTAAATTATAGATACTATGAAAGTGATTCTATGGACTAGTGATTTTTGTACTCTTTATTTTTAGCTGCAAAACACTTTTCTCCAAGTGGTCTCCTATGCAAAAAATATGCGAGCTGCGCATGGTGGTGCATGCCTGTAATCCCAGTACTTGGGAGGCTGAGGCAGGAGGATCACTGTAAATTTGAGGCCAGCCTGGGCTGCATGGTGATTTGAAGGCCAGCCTGATAATAGTGAGACCTTGTCTCAATACTAAAAAATATGTGTGCATAAATGTCTTTTCTCCAAGTGGTCTCCTATGCAAAAAATATGCGAGCTGCGCATGGTGGTGCATGCCTGTAATCCCAGTACTTGGGAGGCTGAGGCAGGAGGATCACTGTAAATTTGAGGCCAGCCTGGGCTGCATGGTGATTTGAAGGCCAGCCTGATAATAGTGAGACCTTGTCTCAATACTAAAAAATATGTGTGCATAAATGTATATATATATACAGGTTGAAAAGCATTATATGGACAGCATGTGGGCCTTAGAGATACTTGAGTGAGGTGGTGACATCACGTGAAGGTAACAGTGTATAATGTACATAGTAGAAACAGCGAAGAGGAGACTAAATAGAGCCAGGAGACTGGTTAAGGGAATAATACAATAGTCCTGGTATCAGATAATAAGCACAAGGACTAATGTTAAAAATAGGGTAAGAAGTGAGCCATGTGTAAGAACTTTATTAATGAAAACTCTATAAGAAATTTTGGTAATTGCTTAAGTAAAGGAGTACATACAGAAGAAATCAGAGATAATTGAAGTGTCTTTCAGTGGGTGGATTTGAGAGAATTGATTAATTTGAAGTGGCAAAAAGACTTAAGAAGAATAAAACGGCATGTTAATGATAATAGAAATCCTCAAATTGCTTAGGAGTTCTGTAGTGTCTGAATCCTTGAGGCTGAATCATTCCATCAGGAAAGAAGGAAAAGGAATGAAAGACTTGGAACATCACTGATTCATTGTTAAAGGCAAGATACCAGGCTGACTGTCCTATTGTACCTAGTTTTGATGAATTTAGTATTTAACATTACAATTAATTAATTAATTAATTAATTTTTATTTTTGGTACCAGGGATTGAACTCAGGACCTTGCACTTGCAAGGCAGGCAGCAGAACCACTGAGCTAAATCCCTGGCCCATTACAATTTATTTTTATTGAAGAACCATTTTAAATCTGTTCTAAGCATATTATATATGGCCTGTCAACAGTGAAACAGATTGTATGTCATAAAAAGCCCTGCATAGGGGAAATCAAATCTAACTCATTCTCAGATTTTCAAGGATGAATATAAGATGCTTGTTAGTTAACATTTGGGGAAATAGGCATTTTCATACTTTGCTGATGGGAATGCAAAGTGCTACTGTCATGGAAAAGAATTTGCTAATGATACTTTTTGACAAAGAAAGCACATTTTTAGGAATCTCTCCCAAAGATAAACTGTATATGAAGATAAATTGCATATTAAATGGCATACATGTAAAGCTGTCATTTTGTGACATGGTATTTTGGTAACAAAAACTAGAAACAACTGAAATATCCTTCCAGGGTTAAAATGCATCATAACTCTTAAAAAAAAAAAAAACAAACTCTAAATGGGGCCGGGGTTTTAGCTCAGTGGTTCGGTGACCTGCCTTGCAAGCACAAGGACCGGAGTTCAATCCCCGGTACCAAAAACAAAACAAAACAAAACAAACAAAAAAAACCTCTAAATGTATTACTGTAGTGTGGTCTCCCATGTATATTCACTGGAAAAAAGAAAGTCCATATGAGTTTGTATAATGTATAGTTTTTGGATAAGAAACTGTGAGAATTCAAAAGGAAATAATGAACAAATAAATAAAAATATTAAAACTGGTGATTTAAAGGAGAAGGGAGAAGGCCAAGGCAGGCAGTAGGGATGAGAGTTAGATGCCCCTGAAGGAAGCATGTTTATATCTTTCTTTGGAACCATGTACACCTTTTACATAATTTAAAAACAAAAATACAATAACAGAGCAGTCTTTTAGCAATATTTTGTTTACTCATACAAAAGTACCTGTTAAGCACCTTCCAAGATATGATCCTGTGTTAAGGGATAGAGATAATAATTTTTTTCTTACATCATGATGCTGCTTTCTTCCATTTACATAAAGACAACTTTTATTTCTTAATTTTAAACATTTGCATATTCTAACATATATTCATATAAGTTCTTCTTGGAGAAATTTTAAGAAGTACATAACTAACTATAACTTTAGTTGTTGACGATAATATATCAGCATTATCTAAATTCTTGCCATTTCTCATAATGGGCTGGAACACATTTTGTCTCATCTAGTTTTTTTTTCAGATATTTTCATGCTTAATACTCATCTAAAAAATAAAATTGGCATTGCCTCTAAATTACTATTACTGATTATTATTGGACTTGTTATTTCTTATTTATTTTTCTTACATAGGGCTTTACATAAGAATTTTAAATGGTTTGAAATAGTAATAAAGTGGAAAGCCTTTTATCACTTAGCATAGCTTTGGCTGTATAGCTCACTGAAGAAAGGAAATTTCTGTTTTTATTCTGGTCTGCAAAATAAAATGTTTCTTTTTTTCTCCAAGTAAAATGTTTCTTTAATAAGTATCCGCAACTATTTCTATATATTATAGTTATTATTTCCTTTTAATATTCCAAATGTGGCCATTCATTCTAGTTCTTTCTCATAAATTACTAAGTCCATTTCCTGAGAAATGTCTTTCAAGTATAGTTTTTAAAAGTTTGTATTTTTTTGCAAGGTTAGAGATTGAACCAAGGGTGTCACACATTGTACATAGATGTTCTCCCATTAAGCTATATTCCCAGCCTACAAGTACAATTTTTTTTGGGGGGTACTGCAGGCCACCAAACCACTGAGCTAAATCCCCGGCCCACGAGTACAATTTTTAAAGTAAATCTCACACTTAACAATAAAAATGTTCTTGGAAGAGTTTTATAAGATACCTACTTGAAATTCTTCGAAGAATTCATAGTTGAACAAGATGTGTACCTGGATCCCAGAGGCTAGACCTAAGTTTTTATTTGTTCTGTAATAGATATACCTTCCATTTTAGAGATGATAACAAGCCACACCTGGAATAATCCATTATTTTGGTGGCAAACACTGTGTGTTAATGTTGAATAGTGTATTAGTCAGCTTTCTTGTCTGTTATGCTTTATATTTGGATGTCTGCCCAGAGCCTCATATACTCAGATGTGGGGCTTGTAGAAGGCAATTGGATTATCGAAGTGCTACAGCTGGCCTCATGTTAGGCAGTGGGAACTGATTAGAGGTGGATCTCTGGGGGCATGTTGTGAAAGGGTATATCTTTCTCCCCAGTTTGTTTCTTTCTGATTTCTGGCTGCCATGAGGTGAGCAGCTTTTCCACTGTTGCCCTCTGCCATGCCATCCTGCCTTGGAGCCAGTAGATTATGGACTGAAATCTCTCCATACTGAGCCAAAATAAACCTCATCTTCTTTAAGTTGTAGGCTTCAGGTGTACAGTGTCTCAGTGATGAGAAAGTGACTGAGACACTTGCTGGGGCACAGTACTTGACAAGTTAAAGGAGGAGAGATTAATTTTTGCTCATAGTTTGAATGGATTTATTCCATGGTCTGCCAGCTCCAAGGCAGAAATAGTTGTCAAAAAAAGTCGTTCACTCCGTGGTGGCCAGGCTTGGAAGGGAGGTGCTGGAGACAAAAATACACCCTGCCAGGTCACACCTCCAGTTATCTGCCTCCTCTGACTAGACCCCGCCTCCTAAACCTGCATTTAACTGTGAACTCAGCAATGGATCATAACACCTCTATGGTATAATTACCTTTCAAAAGCCCTACCTCTGAATATAAGTCCACGGTATATTTTAGATCCAAACCTTAAAATTCTGCACCTAGCCCTCAAAAGGCTGTATCCATCATATGTAAAATGCATGTGGTCCATTTTTAAGAATTGTCAAAGTATTCACAGTACTTGAAAAGTCCAAGTCCAAAATCTCTTCTGAGACTATAAGCAAACTCTTTGTGGTAGCCCTTTGTAAAAATAAAAAGAAAGTTTGGCACAAGGTAAACATTTCCATTCTTAAGTGTAATAATAGGAAAATAGAAATCAGACCCAAAGCAAGATGGAAACCCACAAGGATAAACATTAATTGGTATAGCTCCATGTCTAGCGCCCAGGGTAGGATGTGGTAAGATGAGAACTTTAAAGGGCTTCAGCAGCCCTTCCCCTATAACCTTGCTGTTTGCAACCCACATGGCTTCTCTCTTAGAATATAAATATTCACAGTATTGGCATGCTCAGTGCCTGTGATTTTCTTCAGCAAATGTTTCAGATCCCTGGCATCTCCAGCTTCTGGAGTCTTCACTGCACCGTTAGTTTTTCTCTAACAGCTTCACTACTACTCTAATGGGCTCCTGGGAGGGGCTGTGACCCTCTCACACAAATTTTTCCTGGTCTCCTAGACCTTTTACTGACATCTGGGTGGAAGCCCATAACTCTTGCATTCTATATATCTGAAAAAACCAGCACCAGGTGAATGATGCCAAAGTCTGCTATCTGCTTGAACAATAGTCAGGCCTCCTTGGACAATGGCTATAACAGGTTCTAAATTCCTGAATGGCTGAACACCATGAAATGAATCCTAAGGATCCAATTCCCTAGCTAGCTGTATTTAGCAGGGTGCCTGAGACCCTCTCTTCTAAAATCATAGGTTACACTTTGCACATTCGAGCCTATAATGAATGAGATCTCACTAATTCCTCTAGACATCTTTCTTCTTTTCCTTATACAAGGTTCTTGACTAATCTTTTTCATCAACCATGCTTTCCTTTGCCCCAACTTTGCCTTTCCTTTCTGTCAAAACTGCAAACTTTTCAGACAATTAAGCTCTGCCATTTGCTCCTGGTTCTCACTATAGATATGGCTAAAAAGTAGCCAGCATTACCCATGCCATCGCCTAAATGTTGGGTTGCTTTGAACTTTCCTTTACCAGATTATTCTACCACCCTTAATCTCAATCTTCCAAAAAGTCTCAGGACATGAGCAGAATGTTGACAAATTTTCTGCAGAGCCTCTATTGTAACTGCCATTGGAGTCCTTGTTTCCAACTGAAACAGGAGCCTGGCCTTAATTGTCCCCATTCCTGTAAGCATTCTAGCCTTTTGAGCTCGGACCAGTGTTGCACATCAAGCACTACTCAACATTCTGGGGCTTCTCTGTCTGACCTTTCCAAACATTTTCAAACTTCTCCCACAAAGCGAAAAACTTCTAAACTTGGTCAGATACAGTCATAGCAATGATTGCATCTTCAGGACCAATTTTCTGTGTTAGCTTTCCTATTGCTGGAACAAAATACTAGATACCCACAACTTAAAGGAGTTTACTATGGTTCACAGTTTCAGAATTCCACTGAAGAATATGGTAACTCATGATTCTAAAAGCTCCACCTCTAAACTGACACTTTTTGTGGACATTTTAGATCTAAACTATACCAAGTACAATTTAATTTCACTAAATTAAAACTTATTATAGTATATTGTTTACAAGTGTATCCATTAACAGTCACTATCTCAAACTACCTGTCTTCAATTTTTAGAATGCATTTTTTAAGAATTAGGAATTGGGGTAATAGCTTTATAACCCCATAAATTTACATGGATTATCTCATAATCTTTTTTTTTCTTTCTTTTTATTGAGTTTATTGGTACAATCTAGGTATACAATACAGTTACATTCATCATTGGGATTCTGTACCTTTACATAATAGGTCTTGATTCTCATTTTTTCCCTTGTCCCTGCCCTCCCTTCACCCCCTCCTCCCCTCCCCATTTACAAACACTTTATTTCCATTTTTCAGTTTCTCATATTTTTTTCCTTTCCCTTATTACCTTTCCCCCACCCTTCCCACTTTCCCTACACCTTTAGCCCTTTACTTCCTATTTCACATTATTAATTATCTCATTAGGATCCTGTGTACTATTATAGTTTTTCACACCAAAGAAACTATTCGGTATTTCAGTTGATTATCTCATAATCTTAATGAAATACTAATATCTTTGTTATCCCCATTTTACTTGCCAGGAATTATGTTTTAAGAAGTCTGAAGATCAGTTAGTAAATAACCTACAAAATATTTGAATAGTTTTCTAATTCCAAGAAATGTTTATGCTTAACATTTATTGTTAAATTGTGTAAGCCTCAGCTATCAGACAAAACACTTTGAAAAAGCTGTATCATTCTGTTAGGAAAGTATACCAGTGCATTTTTCAAGGGATTTTTAACAGGGATTAAGCCTGAGTCTTAGTAATATTCAGTTAACCAATTGTCATTTCTAAGTTATAAAGGATTCTAGTAATTATTTTCCTTTGTTGTTGTTGTTGTTTTGTTTTGTTTTGTTTTTGTACCAGGATCGAACTTGGGTCCTTGAGCTTGTGAGGCAGGCAGCAGAAAGTAATTCTTATTTTCTTTTTTTTTTTTTAAGTATGATTTTTCAATCATAAGTGTTGCTTTGTTAAATATTATTACATTGCTGTGTAAGGGTTTAGACAAAGCAAAGTACCTCTCCAAGATTTATATTCAGTCTATTTAGAATTTAAAATAGGCAGGCTCTTTGTTTGTTCTTGTTTTTTTCAGTGTTGGGGAATGAACACCAGGGCCTCATACAAGCTAGACAAGCATTTTATCCTGTACTTCCAGCCATTTTTGTTTTTTAAGACAGGTTCTTGCTAAATTGCCCAACTTGTGGTTCTCCAACTTCCTAAGTAGCTGGTATTATAGATGTGTATCACTGTGCTCAGCTAAAGTGGGAAGTTTTTGAGAATTTTCTTATGAGTCATATAAGTGTTTTATTTAAATTTTTAATCTGTCCATCTATCTATAAAGTATTCCTCATTGTATACCAAGGAAGGTGAATTGAGAAATAGCTTCTAAATTACAATACACTAACTTCTGTTTGTTTTTTGTTTGTGGGGAGGTTGTTTTGTTTTTGGTACCAGGGATTGAACTCAGGACCTTGCACTTGCAAGGCAGGTGCAGTGCCACTGAACTAAATTCCCAGCCCTTGTATATTGTTGCATAAATATTTTGAAGATAATTATATTGACTGACAAAAATAATGTTAATAATTTACATCCTCTCTTACAGATTTTATTAAACAAAGAAGAGCAGGACTAAATGAATTCATTCAGAATTTAGTTAGATATCCAGAGCTTTACAACCAGTAAGTAATTTTTGTTGTATTCTAAATCTGAAAATATTGTGAACCAAATGTAAGATTATTAAAGAAGTCTAGTGCAGATATTCTTTCTGTGAAATGTTTTGTTTTTCTTAATGTTTGTATTAGTACCTCTTTGTTGTACATAATATTTACACACCTTATGGGGAGTAGGTACGTGTACATAATACATCTTAATTCTTTTTTTCATTCCCTTTCCCTTCCCCTCCTCCCCCCTCCTGCCAGGTATTGACTCTCTTCTTTTTTGGAGGGAATACATGTTTGCAGTACATGTTTACATTCCTTATGTGAAATTGGTAAATATACATACACATCTTAATTCTTTTTTCATCCTCTATTCCTCCCCCCATCTCATGATCCCCTTCCCCTTTGAGAAAGATCTGTCTCCCTGCTTCCATCGTCTTTCTTTTATTTGTACTTTGGGTTTTTCCTATGAGAGAAATCTTGTGCTTTTTAAGCTTGTGTGTCTGATTTTATGTGAAATGCTGTTTGCTATATATGTTTGAAAAACTCCTGGAGCATTTCCTCCTGATATTCTTTATCTTCTTTTGCCTTTTCTCATTTTATCTTATTTGTTTTCTTTCATAATTGTTTTATAGATTAAATTTGAAAGAAATGTGCATAATGTAGTTAAAACATTGTGCTGATTGAGATTTACCTATGGCTTCAAAAAACATTAAATGCCTGCTATGAGCACCTTATTCTAATGTTATTGCAGAATAACTTATAGAAAAGCACCTATATCATGACTACCCTGCTCAATGAGTTATAAGAAAGTAAGCACAGTCAAGTTGTCACCCACTCCCCTAGGCCAAAAATTAGACAATTATATACTAAGATCCCTGAAGCCCCTCATGTATCTTTTCTCAACCTCTATTCTGTCTTTCCTTTCCAAAGGTAACTGTTCTGATTCTAACAAATGTGCCTTGTTTTTCTACTTTATATTAATGTGACTGTTGTGATAAGATTGAGAAACACCTAGCAGATTAGTCAAGCACATTTCTGGTTGTGTCTGAGTTGGCCATAGGTTGTGACCTTGGGGACTGTATGTGATTCCTAGCCCTTTCCTTTCTGGTTCTGTTCCCTTACTCTTGCTTCCTGGCTGCCATGAACTGAGCAGCTTTGGTCCACTGTGCTCTTCTGCCATAATGTTTCTTTCATGGAGACAACTGAACAGGGTCTGAAACCTCCGAAATCATGAGCCAAAATGATTCCTTCTTCTAAATTGTGAATGCTGGGTATTTTGTCCCATCAATGACTTCAACACAATTTACTCAATTCTACTGCTGATAGACATTTGAATTAATTTTAATTTTCATGCTCTTCATTTGAACATCAAACAATTGGTGCATATCGCTAGGATTGCGTATATGATTTTCAGGAGAGACTTTTAAAATTAAAATTACTTGGTCTGAACTATTTTAAGCCTTCAGATACAGTCTGTTAAAACTGATTTCTAGGGTGGCTCTGCCAGTTGATACTCTGGTAGCACTGTATGAACATCCTGAAGATTCTTCCAGCCTTGGTTAGCATAACAGTAGAACTACATTTAGCATTTTTCAGGAGAGAGTTTAAAATGTATCTGGCTATCATGAATACTATTGCAATTAATATAATCTTTTTATGAACAGATGCAAACACTTCTGAAGTTTCTGGCCTGTAGGATATGTATATGTTTAACCCTTGTGCATAGGGGTTAAACCAAATTGTTTTCCAAAATGATTGCCAGAATTCATACTTCCACTATTAATGTATGAAACCACATTGTTTCATGAACCACTTAGTGTTGTTAGTCTTAACAATTTTAGCTATTCGGATGAATGAGTAGTGGTTTCTTATTGTTTTGTTTGGGGTGTTGGTTTTGTTTTGTTTGGGGGTTTTGTTGTTTTTTTTTTGAGGCATGGTCTTATTATATGTAGTCCAGCCTTTCAAATGCTGGGATTATAGGTGTGCACCACCACACCTTCTTATTGTTGCTTTAATTTGTACTTCACTAATTACTGATAGAATTGATCAGAGATATGAATATAAAGTCATTTATATCATTATTAGCATTTAATGATAAGGCTAGAAGAGTCTTCATGATGTTCATATACTGTTAAGGGAATATAAACAGCTTTCCTAGAAATCAGTTTTAACAGACCGTATTTGAAGTCTTAAAATGGTTTTCAGTTCAGACCAAATAATTTTTTAAATCTCTCTTGCAAATCATAAGTGCAGTTCTACTGTTATGTGAAAACATGAACAGTTCTAGTGTTATTTGCAGTAGCAAAAATTATGTAGTTAGAAGTTGGAAAATGACAATTTAGTGGTTTTCTAGTATATTCACAGCGCTGTACACTCTTCATTACTACCTATTACCCAAGTCTAATCTAGCATTGCTAACACCCCAAAAAAGAAATGGTACCTCCAAATTCTCTCTTTGACAAGTGCCTGGCAACCATTAGTCTACTATCAATTTCAAAAGCTTGTTTGTTCTTCCGGGTGTGATGGCACATGCCTGCAATCCCAGCACTTGTGAGGCTGAGGCAGGAGGATGGATCACTGTGAGTTTGAGACCAGCCTGGGCTACCTTGTGAGTTCCAGGTCAGTCTCAACTACATAGTGAGACCCTGTCTCAAAAAAAAGCTTGCTTGTTCTGGATGTTTTGTTTAAAATGAAGTCATATAATATGTGACTTTTTTTTCCTTCCTTTGTTCATTTAGTATATTTTTTCTCATTGAGTTTATTGGTACACTTTAGGTATATAGTACAGTTACATTCATCATTGGGACCTTTTACCTTTACATGACAGGTCTTGGTTCTCATTTGTTCCCCTTACCCCTGCCCTCTCTTCACCCCCTCTTCCCTGTTTTCGAGATTCAGCTATATTGTTAACATATATCAGTATTATATTTCTTTTTATAAATGAGTAATATTCTGTATTAATATACCACATTTTGTTTATCCGTTTATCAGCCAGTGGACATTCAGGATGTTTCTACTTTTTAGCTATTATAAATAATCCTGTTATGATTACTTCATGGATAATTTTTATGTGAATATGTTTTGATTTCTCCTAGGTATATACTTAGGAGTAGAACTACTAGATTATACAGTGACTCCTGTTTAGCTTTCTGAGGATTGCCAAACTTTTCTCATGGCAGCACTACTTTATATGCACACCAGCCTTCTCCTTTGTAAAAATAATTTTTCATCTTTCAATTTTTTTACTATTTCTATTATTTATATTAAATTATTTAGAACAATTCAGTATAGAAGTAACCAGTTATATTTAACATTCCTCAAGACTGTCATTAGTCCATGTACACTTTTTAAGTCTATTTTATTCTCTTCATCTTGTATCGTTGTACTTATTTCTTTATATCCACAGTGGTTGTCTACTTTAATATGTTTGGGTGCTTAATATCTCTCTGTATCTTTAAAAAAATTAGACTGACTCTTTTGTCTGTATTTAATACATACATAAATGGTACTGTGCTATTACTGTTTGTTGTTTTCTGTCTACCAACTGATACTCCCTATAGGCACTTAACCATATTTGACTTACTAATTTTCCTGGTTATAAATGTCTGCTTTGTTTAAAATTCACTGCTATAGAATGCTACAATGACTATTTACATACATGCCTTTCAATAGAACTGTGCATAATTTTTCCAGTGGCCTGTCTACAGAATTGGAATTTTGAAGTCCAGGAAAAATGTAATTTTCCAAAATTGCCAGGTTACTTTTCGGGAAAGCACTTTAATCCTGCATTCTCACCAGCAACATATAGAGTTTCTTTTTCCCTATATCCTTACTAACTTTTGGTATTTAAAACTTTTGCCAGTAATGGACATAAAGTATTAATTCATTATCAACTTAATTTGTCTTTCTCTGATTGCCAGTGAAGCTAATGTCTTTACAAATTTACTTGCTGTTTGGGTTTGTCTCTTTTCACCTGCCTGTTTATACTTTTGTTTATTTTCTGTTTGTTTGTTTGTTTGTTTGTTTACCGGATATCAAACTCAGGACCTAGCACTTGTGAGGCAGGTGGTGGCACCACTGAACTTAATCCTCAGCTCTGGTTCTTTGTTTTTTAAAAAATTAATTTGTTTATTTCTTATAAAAATAATGGTAATGCATTTTTGTTTAGCTTTCTTGCTATAAATGCTAATATTGTGACTTTTGTTATGACTTTGTTTTAAAAGGGAAAAAACTGCAGATATGATTTTATATCATAATAAAATTAATTTTTGTTTTCAGTCCAGATGTCAGAGCATTCCTGCAAATGGACAGCCCAAAACATCAGTCAGATCCATCAGAAGATGAGGATGAAAGAAGTACTCAGAAGGTAGTAAGAGGAATTACATTTTTTAACATAAAAACACCATTCCCCAATAATGAAATAAATTACTTTAGGGCAATATTTGCTCAAAATGAAGTAATTTCATTTAAGTAAATTTTTTTTATGTAAAAACCACTTACTGATCAGTATTTCTTATAAAATTCATAGAATTACTTTTATGATTAAAAACTAATGTGGTTAAAGAAAAATTTGAAAGTAACAGTTAAGAAGGTAAATATTACTCATATTGCTACTACCTGGAACTAGTATTTTTTAGCATTTGAGTGACTTTTCTTTCTAATACTCTCTTAAATGTATAGGGTTTTTGTTTTTGTTTTCTTTTGTTTGTACCAGGGATCAAAGTCAGGACCTTGCACTTGTGAGGCATGTGGCAACACCACTGAGCTAAATCCCCGGCCCATACAGGGTTTTAAAGATATCTAAATGATATAATGTATATAAGTTCTGCTTTCGATAAATCTTATACATTTATTTTGAACATTGTATTTCTTTATTATCATCACCATACCTGGAACTATTCTGAACTTTGGTCAAGAAAGTCCTTTTCAACCAGAACATTATATATCCCTTTCTCTGCATAATCAGGTTTTTATGTGTATAGATCAATATCCATGTGCCACCTGACATCACCTAACTTTTATTTCTACTGTATGTTTACATAATTTCTAATATAGAGTAGGTTATCCTTAATCTTTGAACTATATTGTGGTAAACAAAAAAGTAACATAAGTTTGAATCTTAAAGATATTTCTAGCATTCCCCCTTGAAAGCTATTGGAAAGGTACATACTAATAAATCTAAAGCAAAATATTCTAATGTAACAGAATTACAATTATGATTTTTTTATTTAAAAGATAATATGAGTTAGAACATTACCATCCCTATGTAAAATCTTCCTTAGTTAAAAAAGGTGAATGTGTCGATTCTAATAGCAAATAGTTTTTATTTTTGCATGGTTTTGAGGATTGAACCTACAGCCTCATGCCTGCTAGGTAAGCTTTCTACCACTGAGCCACACCCACAACCACAAATGAAATTTTCAAAGAGATTTTTGTATCTCTACTAATTTAACAGAAGTGTAAAGTAAATAAACTTTACCTTAAAATACCAATAAGGATAGGTACAACAGGCATTATTGATATCATTTTGGTTTTATGCAACTCTTCAGAAATCAATTCAGCAATATGTATTCAATATAAGGGCCAGGGATGTAGCCCAGTGGTGTTGCTGCCTGCCTCACAAGCTCAAGGTCCTGAGTTCATTCCCTAGTACCAAAACAAACAAACAAACAAACATAAAATTATATTCAATTCACTAAGCATAATACAAATGAGATAATCCTTTACATAGAAAAAATTAAGTGTTTATATGTTGTATACAAAATTAGAATAGCCAGAGATTTACCTCAGTGGTGCTGCTGCCTGCCTCTTAAGCACAAGGTCCTGAGTTTAATCCCTGGTACCAAAAAAAAAATAATTAGAATAAACATTCATCAGTCGATCAGGTAGTGCTTGTCTACATAATGTTTTAAAGTATTTTTGAAGATGATATTTTAAACTTTGGCGTGCCATAAGTGAAATCAGAATATAAAATTTTATGTACGTGTTCATAGTGAATTACAGTCAGCTTTAAAAGATATGCAAAAAGGAAATCGCTGAAATATTTGTAGATTCGTCTGTTGATAAGATTGTAAATATTTAAGAACATCTTCCTCCTAGTACTTTCTTTATTTTCCAACTATGGTTATGTATTTTTAACTGAAAATGGTTAAACTATTCAAATAATATTTTAAAAAATAAAAGCCATGTAAGTATGATTTTCCATGTTTTGCTTGCCACTTGTGTAAAAGTTTGTTGGTTTAGGTCATTTAAAGAATATAACTAGACCTTTTAACTAAATGATGTTTATATCTAGAAGATATCTAAACAGGGCAACTAGGACTTTACCCTCTTACAAAGAGAAAAAGAAATCAAGAGAAGTTGAGAAACTTAAAATCTCAGTGTTCATTTTGTTCATAAATTATACCTCACCCTTAATTTAGTCATTAGATGTCATGGTTAACTAGTAGGTAAAATGAAAACTTATCTAATTATATATCCCAGTAATTTTCATCATTTCATGAATGTGCTCCACTAGGAAAACCATTGTCAAATAATAAAAATCTACATATTAATGTAATTCAAGGAACAAAATTGTTTATTTATTTAATCCATGTTTATTTAATTATCTTCCCTTATATAAGAAAAGTTCATTGAATGCAAAATTTACCCACTTATCCACAGTGTGTATTGACATTGCAACTGTTTGAAATATGTTGTCAGATTCAGTGAAACACTAATATTTAAACATAAAAGACTACTCTTGTGTTACAATTATACCACAACAGGGCAGATCTCATTTAATGGGCCAGAATATTTATAAACATTTTTGTCTTGTCTTAAACTATTATAATTTCATATATTTCTGTCTTCTGGGGATTGAAAATTTATTACATGAAGATTAAGACAAGTTTCTAAAACCTTCCTATTTATAGAGTATATGAATAATGATTATATGAGGCTCCTGTAAAACTAGACATACTTGAGAGGTTTATAACTGATTTAATTATCTGAATGTATAAAGAACTTCAAAATAAATTTATTGGAGACAGAATTCACTTATACTTGCCTTTTTATCTTTTCTCTTTTTTTCCTTTTCCCCCACTCCTCTTTTCTATTTTTCAGTACTAGGGATTGGACCCAAGGCCTTCACGCTGATCTGCCTCCCCAGACCTTTGCTTAAAAAAAAAAAATTTTTTTTTTTTAAATATTGAGACAGTGTCTTCTGCTTTGCCCAGGCTGGCCTAGAACTTGTGATCTTCCTGCCTCATCATCCCAGAGTGCCAGAATTACAGGCATGCCCCATCACATTTGTGCTTGGCTTTTATAAAAAGTGTATACTCTGGGCTGGGGAGGTGGCTAGATGTCAGAGTTCATGCTGACCCTGGGTTTGATCCTCAGCACCACAAAACAAAATAAAATGATTACTCTGTCAGGATCAATAGATTTTTTTTTTTAAGTTTGAGTGAAATGTCTAACTGGTAATGAACTAGAACCTTGAATTAGTTAAATTACTCTATGGCTACTGTCTGAGTAAATATTTGCTTCTAGGTTACTACCATAAATTAAATTTACTATCTTGTGTATTGCAAAAAGAAAAAGCCCATCTAAAATGTTGGTACTGCTATGAAAATGCTATTGTCTGTATTCACTTTAGAAATGTGGCTATCACCAAATTAAAACTGAAAATTCAATATTTATAATTATTACCTCATCCTGTCATTTTTCTGTCTTAAAGAAGTTATTCGAAAATTTGAAAACTAAACTAATTTTTAACCAGTTTTTAAAATGTAAAAATTACTTCTAAATTATGGCTTCAATGCCCAAATCTTTTAAGGAGCTTTCCATTCATTTGCTAACTTTAAGCTTGATTTCTCATTACCTTTTTACTTTACAACTGCTCTCTAAAGTTATCATTATAAAAATGTTTATGTATGTTTCCAAGTAAGTCTGTAGACTAAGAATTAGGACCTTAGATTTCTTTAACATGTACTCATATCTATGGTACAGTTATGTATATTTTATTTAAAAACATTCTTTGGCTGATATACAATCTATGAAGCTCCAATAAGAATGTCATTGTTTTAATGCTGTTTTTTGTGTCTACCCCACCCCACCCCCACTCCTGACATCTAAACAGCTCCACTCTACCTCACAGAACATCAACCTGGGACCAACTGGAAATCCTCAGTAGGTTTAATTTATCTCAAACAATCCTTTAATTAAATAATTAAATTTTAGGAAGCTCGTTTTTGAGATACATGAAATACAACCATAGTCATAGGGAATATATAATATTGTCATGTGCTTAACTAACTCACTGCCCTAGCTTTTCATTGCTTAAGTAAAACCCTAGTAAGGACCTATTTTTTAAATCTACAAATAGTTAATTGGATTATTCTATTTTGCAATTGTAACTTTTCTGGTTTTATTTTGTGTGTGTGTGTGTGTGTGTGTATAATCATTTGACCATATTTCCCAAAGGACCAGAAGTCCTATAAGATTTTGAAAACAAACATCCTTGCAGGCCTAACTGATACATTCTCTTAGTGCTTATAATTGTTGTGTTGTTGGTATACTACAGTTGTTAGCCAGCCATCCTGTTCCAGAGAAGTAATGATGGACATTAGCATATTAAAGGATATTAAACTTTACCTAGTTTACCCCAAATTTCTATATTTATTTGAGTAGAAAACATTCTTAGGAATGCAGTCTAAGAAATGTTGAATGAGACCAGAGGTGGCAAATACAGACTTCATTTCATCTTGACTGTCAACCCCAGCAATTCATTGAAAGTGAATACCTAGAGTATCCAGTATAAAAGATTCCCCTGCTCCTGCTTGACTCTGTTCAAGGAGTGCCCAGATGGATTAGTGACATGATGTTGGCCATGGGTTGGAGAAAGGGTAGTGTTGCCATCCTTACTTTGTAATTATTCTCACAGGATGCTTTGATTAATTTTGAGTATTCTTTTACCCCAGAACAACAAGCTTTCCTTATCTTTTTTACTTACCTGGGGAGAGTATAGACACATGGGAGAAGTGATCACAGGATTGGACAAAAGAAAAATTGACAACTGAATTTGATAAGTCATTGTGATTTTTTTTTTTTTTTCGGGTATCAAACTGAGGTCCTCATGCTTGCCAGGCAGGCACAGTACCAGTGAGCTAATTCCCCGGCCCAAAGTCATGAATTTTACAAACATTTTTATCTGTGTGATTGTAAGACCTTGCTAGGAAGGGGTTCAGGAAAGAACAAGAGGGGAGGTGAGCTGGAAAAGTAGTGAGCTTAGGCCACTTACTTGGAGATTTTTGCTGCATGAGATGGCAGGGAATGGGATGGTAACTGGAAGAGAGTTTTTGGTTTTGAGCATTCTTTTCTGTCATTCATAACATTGAACAATATGACAGCACAAAATACAGATTTTCAATTAAGATTCATCTTCAGCAGTTAACAATGAGACCTCAACCTATTTTCTGTTTAAAGGATTTGCCTGATTTTCACCGTCACATTTGCTTGCTTTTGTGTAAAAAAATAGTTTGGTATCTCAAGTTTCATTAAAGAACAAAATAATAGTTCAAAGAGCAGGTTTCTGAAGAAGAGAAAACATGTAAATTTAGTTAAGTATTTATCTCACTAATCTTTACTTGTTATTATTTGACCTAGTCCTAGTGTTACTCTGTCTGAATTGACTATTTTTCTTTAATAATCAGTTGATGGAAATTTCAAATTCATATTGAGTTATTATTCTCTTCTCTAGTACAACTAAGGAATTCAGATTGTCTTAAAGAAAACAGCTTTTTGAAATGGCACCTTAGGCTCAGCTTTTTGCTTCCACGTACATCTGCCCATATGTAACCAGTATTGTTTTTACCTAACATACTGAAATAAATAAAAAGACAATTTTAGTTTTCCCTTTGGCTTTTCTTTTCCTGGCTTACATCACCATGAGAATAAGCTGAGAAATCTTTTATCTTTAATGTACAATAAATGATTCATATTTAACACTGAGGCTTTTTTCGCCTCTGGAAAGTTTTTAGCATGTTTACCAGGTGTTGCAAGTAGCAATTTAATTTTCAGAATAATTACCAAATACTAGAGTGTCCTTGGAATGTTTCAGTAGTTTGTATAGTTATTCAGCTTCCTCACAACATTGGTTAGGTTCATGGTTAATAAAATTGTCTTAGATAGAAGCTACAAAACTATTATGTATGTATACCTAGATATATATTTAGATATGTATATCTGTATATAGAAATAAATATATGCATCCTTTCCCCCTAAAGAGGATATTATTAAACTCCTTTTTTAAGTAGAACTTAACAAGCTTACAAAATTATAAAATATTTTTTCATTGTTAATTTATTTCAGTGCTAAACCAACTGACTTTGACTTTTTAAAAGTTATTGGAAAAGGCAGCTTTGGCAAGGTAAGAGTATTTCTTCTCATTCAGTGGATAAATACTTAAGGAATGCTGATTTTATATGTGTGAATCTCAGGACATTTTTGGTATGAAGAATAGGGTAAAGTAACAGGACAGTAGATAGCAGGAATAAGGTGGGATGGAGAAAATCCCTACTTTAATGGGTTGATCAAGGATGCTTCTTTGAAGATGTGCTAGTAAGCTGAGGCTGGAAAGACAAAAATGAGCATCTTTGTGTGAATAACAGTTTGTGAAGGGAAGGAGTGTACAGATCCTGTTTATTCTCATACAGTATCAGATGAATCATACAATTTGACACTATAGGTATACCAAGGAAGGAGAATCACTTAAGGATTACTAGGAAAAGCATTATAAAGGAGTTTATCAGAATCATCAAATATGTTTTAAGTATTTTTTGCATTATTTTCAAATCTGTAGTAAAAATGAATATTGCTGTATTTTGGTGTCTCTAGTTTGTTTTCTGCATTCCCTTGTGACTATACAATTAAATCCATGTATATTAATTAATTCACAAAATATGTATTGACAGTGTTATGCTAATATAGCCAACAGAAGGTTAGAAGTATCCTACTCTCAACATACTTGTAGTATTGCAATTCCAGAGATAAGCTGACATTAAAAACCGGAGCATTAACTGGCACATCCCTATAATCCCAACTCCTTGGAAGGTTTAGGCAGAGGATTTTGAGTTCAAGGCCAGCCTGAGAAACATGGCAAAATCTCATTGCAAAAATCAATATCAACAGAGAATGGTATCTTTTGGAAATTTCATGCTTAAATCCAGAATCCACCAAGATTTCATTCTAATATGAGGTGGAGAGACACAATTCATTTTTTATGTATGGATATCCAGATGATCTTATAGAATTTATAGAAGGACTACTCTTTCCCCATTGATCTGAAGGGCCACCTTTATTATATATCTAGGGTTTATATATGAGCAGATTTGTTTTTAGGTTCAACTGTTTGTCTTTTTGTTTCTAGATTTTATATTTTGTTCCATTGGTCTATTTGTTTATCTTGACACCATGCCACATTGTCTTGATAGCTAAGTCCTTTGCTCCTTGTTCTTCTTCAAGAGAGTATTCTTAGCCCTTGCTTGTCTATACACATTTTAGAATGTCAACTTTTGCACAGATTTATTTGGAATTCGATTGTGATTGCATTGAATCTACAAATAAATTTAAGAAGAATTAAAATCTTTGTAATACTAAGTCTTCCAGTCCATGGTATAGCTTTTTGTTAATTTAGCTTATTTTAAATTTTTTCACTAATATTTTATAGTGTTGTATGTAGAATTTGTATACATATTGAATTAGTGTTGTTCCTAGTTGTTTCTTTTAGTGCTATTTGAAAACGTGTTAATTATTGAAGCTGAATGTTTGCATTACCTGGGACACATTGGTTCTACTCCTAGATGGCTATCCAACAGAAATGTGTCTGTACTAGAAAAATCATATGCAGGCATGTTCATAGCATCATTATTCATAAACAGCCTAAATATCTAACAGTGAAAGTGTGTATACATTGTGATGGAGTAGTCAGCCCAACGATGAAAATGTGACAGTCATGTTACACGCCATAACTTGAATGAATATTACATAACTCAGAAAGGACACTTTCTGTGACTGTAATTACATTAAATTTTTAAAAGGCAAAACTTACTGGCCATTGTATGTTGATGTAGCAGTAGTTACCTTTGAAGAGGAGTTGGATGAATCATGACTGGTATGGGGCAAAACAGAGGCTTCAGGCTACTGGCATGTTTTATTTCACCTAGATAGTGTTGACATAGATGTGTTCACTTTGCAGTAATTTATCAAGTTATAATGTTGTGGTTTTCGGTATATATGTATATTTAATAAAAGCTTTAAGTCTTAGAAAATTGTTAGAAACCAACATAGTTCAATAAAATAAAAGCAGAATACACAAAAAAAGAAAAGCGAACAAATTCCCTTGCAAAAAATATATAATAAATGGCATAAATATTAGAGATCAAACATTTATTCTAAACTAACTCCGGTTGTAGTCTGGGTTCCACTTTCCATTTTTGTTTGCTTTTGAATCTTATACCCACCAAACCTGACAATCTACTAGAATAAAAAAAGCCTACTTGTAGGGAATCATCAACTTCTAATTGCCACATTCTTTGAATTATTTTCTCAATGTGTACTTGAAGATGAACCAAAGTATTGGAGAAGGACAGTTCAGTCCGGGTGGACATTAAGAAAAAGGAAAATTTTAAAAAATGTCGAACAGAGTAAAATGCTGTAGAGAACAATGAGAAAAATATACTTAAGACTTTTTTATTCTAAAGATTTTTTACTTCATCTTTATGAGTAATACAAATATTTTATTAACAGACTTTATTTTTAGAATGGTTTTAGATTTATAGAAAAATTGAACAGAAAGTACAGAGAATTCCAAGTACCCCATAACACAGTTTGCCCTCTTGCTAACACCACACATTAGTATGCAACCTTTGTTATAGTAAACCAGTATTGATAATTATTAGTAACAGAAGTTTATTATTCACATTTCCCTAGTTTTTGCTTAATGTCCTTTTTTCTGTTTCAGAATATTATCCAGGATACCATATTATGTTTAGTTGTCATGGCTCCTTAGGCTTCTCTCAGCTGCAATAGTTTTTCGAACTTTTCTTGTTTCAGATGACCTTGACAGTTTTGAGGAGTACTGGTCAAGTATATTGTAGGATCCTTCTCTGTTCTTTGGTTTGTTTTTGTTTTTGTTTTCCTTGATTAGAAAGGGTTAAGGTTTTGGCAAGAAAGACCACAGAAGGGCTAGAAGTAAGTCCTAGCATTGTCACTAGTTGCTGTGTCAATTTCAAACAACTTTGAAATGTGTCATGCAATAGTTACACTACTCACAATTTAACTTGGTGGTGGTTTTGAATCACAATTAAGATTCGTATGTCACTTAACCATGGAAACATATTCTGAGAAGTGTTCTTAGCTAATTTCATCGTTGTGCAAACATCACATGTGTACTTAAACAAACCTAGATGATACAGCTATTACAATCACCTGCTATATGCACCTAAGCTGTGTGGTGTATACCTGTGGTGGTGAACCTATGGCACTTGTGCCATAGCAGGCACACATAGGCCCCTCCCTTTCAGCACATGAGCTGTTCCCTCTCAGCCAAGGTTTGAAAAATTTTCAGCATGCATACAACAGCAAAGATTACATTAATTGTGCAAAAGCACACAAAATGTAGACTTTTACCTTCAAATAAAATGCTGTTTATATCAGTGAAAGCTCTGTTGTGTTTTTAAGACAAAAGATATTAATGTCTGAGTTGTTTTTTATAAACAAAAACCTCATCATTCAGGTTTAATTGTGGTGTTGGCACTTTACGATAAGTAAGTGGATTTGGATTGCACTTTGGGCACTGTGTCCATCATTGACCAAAATGTGCAGCACATGTTTTTATTTGTAAAACCTTGAGTGTGTTTACCTTTTTCTTGGTGAGATCCTCTAGGTTTCTTCACATTCCTGAGTGTCTGCATGCCACCTAGCCAATTACAGAAACTCAGCTGTACATGATACTCTTCCTCTGAACACTTCTAAATTACAAAGTCTATAAGAAAAGCCTAAGTACAAAACAACAGTGCATTTTGATCACCTAAAAATCTTTTGCTTTTTTATATAGCCATGAAGTTTAGCCTTGGTATTTTCTAAGGACACAAGGCTGGCACACATATGAATACACACATGCACACACACACACATATACAAAGATGTCTCAAGCAGGTTAGATTTTGCCACTTAAATTCAGTTAACAAATCTCATCAACACAGTAAGTGACAAAGAAATAGTGCCTGGCTATTCAAATAATCAATATCTTTTTTATTAAAAACCTAAGGAAAATTATAGAAATAATTATAGAAATAAATTGAATAGTTCTTGATGTTCAAAACAAAAACATATCCAGGTCCTTGTGGACTTTTCACAAAGTGTAAGAGCTATTGTTTTACTGACAAGTGAATTATCCCTATGAAAATACTGAATTTTTAATAATTTGTACAATCTTTATAACAGGTTCTTCTTGCAAAACGAAAACTGGATGGAAAATTTTATGCTGTCAAAGTGTTACAGAAAAAAGTAGTTCTCAACAGGAAAGAGGTAAAATAAAGTTATTGTTCCTCCTGAATCCATTTTCTTAATTAACAGAATTGTTTTCTGATGTTTAATACAAGTTGATCCTTTGCCCTTTTTTTCCAGCAAAAACATATTATGGCCGAACGTAATGTTCTCTTGAAAAATGTGAAACATCCATTTTTGGTTGGATTACATTATTCTTTCCAAACAAGTGAAAAGCTTTACTTTGTTCTGGATTTTGTTAATGGAGGGGAGGTGAGTTTTATAATTAGTTTTCTAATATTGATAATTATTAGAAGAATAGCATGAAATAAAAAAGGTTTTCTTATAAGTTTTAAACAGACAGTGCATTGTCAAGAGCTATTTGTGTAGTGGAAACAATATTCAAACAACTAGCTACAAGGCATGATGTGGAGAAGTATAATATGAAAGTTGTCAAACAGTATTTCTGGGAAGATTTGTAAAAGAAACTCAGTAAAAAGCTACAGATTTCATTGATTTGTTATAAAGCTTTATAACAAGAATACATACTGAAATATTACCATAAAACATGATTTTTAATTTAAATGATTGTTTCAACAGTTACATATAAAGATTCAGCTTATTTCTAAAATGTACAAAATATTAATCAGTGAAATAATCTTCTAATAAAGAATCCTGTGGTGAAATTAATTGGGAAATGCTTCCTTGTGTCACCATCTTGGTAATTCACAATCTGTTTTAGCATGTTTAATACTTTGAGATCAGCCATAAAGGATTTTTAAAAGAAAAATAGTTTTTATCTCATATCTCCATTTTGTTTGAACTCAGCCTACTAATATTCCTTGAAACTCTGATATAAAAGGATATTAAAATACATTGAGTAAATGCTTATATTATGAAAATAATTATAACAGTTAAGATGATATTAGATATGTGCCTAGTACTCTGGCTCTTCCTATTCTTTTTCTTCACAACAATCTTACAGAAGACTAAGAAATCTAGGAACAGAGAATCCAAGTAGCTTGTGGAAATCATGTACTGTAGTTAGTAATTATTGGAAATAGGAATTGAACTCAAGCATCTGGCAATCTGATTCCAGTGTAGGGGAGCTGACCTCTCCCATTTATCTATTTTTCAACTCTCATGTCTTTCTAATTTGTTTGATCCTTGACTGTGAATGTCTAAAAATTATTTTAACTAATAAATATTGTGTTTCCTTTACAAAGGAATTTTCTGTCTTGTAATCTCAGAGCAGAGATAAGAAAATTGGCTAAGAGATTGGCTAGAGAATGAAGTATCAAAGAATTCGGTGGTGGGTTGGAGGAGTTGATTGGGGCTGTAGGTTAACAAGGAATAAAGATGAGGGGAAAGGATAGAAGCAGGATAGATACGGCTTCATCCTGTGTTCCCTCTTATTAGCCATTATTTTCCCCTTAATGTTCATACTTAGATTTTAATTATGACAAGATACTTTTTATGTACACTACTTCAGCTCTTTTTTTTAGAGCAGAGTATCAACAAATAAATTTTATGATATGGGGACAGATAATAAAGCCTCTCTGGCCTTTAGTTTCCTCTTTATTTCTGACCTAAAAATTACTCTATAGATTAAATAACATAACATGTAAAGTTGTTAGCATAGTGCCTTTTTATTTACTAAGCAGTCAGTGTTAGCAGTTATTAGTAACATGGATTTTTTTTTCTTTTTATTGAGGTTATTGGTACAATCTAGGTATACAATACAATTACATTCATCATTGGAATTCTGTACCTTTAAATAATAGGTCTTGATTCTCATTTTTCCCCTTGTCCCTGCCCTTCCTTCACCCCCTCCTCCCCTCCCCATTTAAAAACACTTTATTTCCATTTTTTCAGTTTCTCATATGTTTTTCCTCTCCCTTATTACCTTTCCCCCATCCTTCCCACTTTCCTTACACCTTTAGCCCTTTACTTCCTATTTCACATTATTAATTATCTCATTAGGACCCTGTGTACTATTATAGTTTTTCACACCAAAGAAACTATTCGGTATTTCAGTTAAAGAAATCTCTGTATGAACATTAAAAATAGGGAATCCTAAAATAAAACTAAAAAGGAAAGTAAAAGAGAAAAGGCAGTGATGTAACATCAAAATAATCCTTAATTCTGGAGATGAAAATGGTCCCTTAACATATTTAAATTGCTTCTCGCTCTTATAGTCTTATCTTATTCTTTTTTCATTATTTAGAGAATACTTTATTAGTTTCTGTAATCAAACCCACGTAGATATGACCTTACATATTTAGTACGATGTGAGTAACATAGATTTTTCATTTTAAGTTTTTTAGCATTAATATATCATCAAAATGTGATTGGAAGATCAATAAATAGAATATTATAGTAGTACAGGGTACACTATTTAAGCAATGGTAGGGGTAAGAGGGAAGAAATATTCCAGAAATACTTTAAAGATAAAACAGAAGAATTTATTTATTTGTTTGATTTAGGCCTAAACAATAATGTAGCAGTTCTGGTGAATCCCAAGCCACCCCCATTTATCTCTGTCAGGACATATTAGTACTGATCTTTACCACAGCCTTTCAGAAGAGGTTAAGATTTTTAAAAACAGTCTTTGATAATCAGAGAGATTTAATGAATTTTGCACAAAAGAGATGAGCCAAAATCTGAACCCAAGTCTGATTAGCTCTGGATCCTTTTTGTGTACAGTATCTTTTGCCACTTTTATGGTTTAGAGAGCTGGAGAGAATACAATAGCAGTAATAAATCTGTAAGAAGACAAAGGTTTTTGTTCTGTTTTAGACAAGTTAAATTTGCTGACTTATAAAATACTTAAGAAAAAACATCAAACATTAAATGGGTCTTTGCAGTAGAATCTCCAAGTAGAGATCTGGGCTAGGGATGTCTTTGTGGAAGACATCAACATACAGTTGGTGTTAAAGTCATTGGAATAGATAGGTTACCTAAGAAGGATGTTTGGAAAAAGTTTAACAGTGGACCAAAGGTAGAAACTCTGTCATCCCTTTAGTGTCTAGAGCCAGAAAGGATCACAGATGGAACTCCCCCAGACAGGAGCAGAGCCAAGGAGACATTACTGTGTTAGAGCTCAGTGCAAAGTTCCCTGAGGCAGGGAACACAATGGCCAAAGGACTGGTGGTATGAAATAAATTAAGAATTAGAAAGTATGAGAAATTGAGAGTCCAGCCACTGTTCATCCCAGCCAGTTATTGCTACATTGAATTTAGGCCTAATGGTACACTGTCCCTCCCCCTACATATATACATATATGAATGAAACATAGTGGTACATGCCCATAATGTCCAGGCCAAGGCAGCAAGTTTGAGCCCAGCATGGGTAACTTAGCAAGACCCTGTCTCCAAAAAAAAGGGGGAGTAAAAAGACAAAGGGATGTAGCTCAGTGCAAAGGCCTTGGTTTAAATCTCCAGTACAGAAAACCAATTTTTCCCAATACTTAAACATTAATTCAAATTTTTTTTAAAACAGTTTTTGTCAGGGCTGAAGATGTAGCCAGTGGAAGGATACTTGCCTAGCATGCACAAAGCCCTTGGTTCAATCCCCAGTACTGGAAAAAATATCTCAAGTATATTATATCTGTAGGTTATATTTGTTCTGCTAGCCACTAGGATTTGTTGGTTTATTTGTTTTTTAATGAAAAAGTAGTCCATAAAGTCTCAGTACATTAATCACATGGCAAAGACCACTTGTCCTCGTTGTACCTTGTCTAGAGTGATTGTCTGGAATGGTGAGGATGCTGCCACACTGAGGACTGAGGAGTACTTTGGAGAAAAGTGAAATTAGCAAACATAACAAAAATGCATGTTAGAGAGAGTGATGTGGTTATTAGATAGGGAAGGTCACAGCTCTGTGCTTTGGTACATATTTATCTCATTTTCAAAATAGCAGAAACAATTTCTACCTTTGTGTTTATAGTGTTAAAGTATTCAAAATGTTAAACACATGTATTTAACACTCTGTGTGAATGATCTTAACATCCCTACTCCCCAAATTTTGCAGCTGTTTTTTCACTTACAAAGAGAACGGTCTTTTCCTGAACACAGAGCAAGATTTTATGCTGCTGAAATTGCCAGTGCATTGGGTTATTTGCACTCCATCAAAATAGTATACAGGCAAGTTGCTTAAATATTATATGTAAGAATATCTTTTTAATATTTTATTTCAAGTAATACTCAGGTTTTTTTCTTTTAATTTGATAGAGATTTGAAACCAGAAAATATTCTTTTGGATTCAATGGTAAGCATTGTCTTTTAAAAATCTACTAGTTCTGTTTTTTGTTCTAAGTGGGGGAAAAAAGTCTTAAGCTTTCAAACTGCATGACTACACTTATAAAACATTCTCAAAATGACAAAACTACAGACAGAGAGCAGATTAGTAGTTGCAAGAGAACAGGGTCAAAGGGAGAGAGAGCAAAGATAAAGGAGTAGCACAAGGCGTTCATTTGTAATGAAATAGCTCTCTTTTGATGGTGGGTGTTACATGAATCTCTACATGTATATTGAATAGAACTATACCACACATACACACACAGCATGCATGTTTACATGATAAAACTGAGTAAGGTTAGTAGTCTAGTTAACAGTGTTCTACCAATGTCAGTTTCCATTTTGACTCTGTACTGCAGTGATACAAGATGTCAGCATTGGGGAAGTGGGTGAGGACACGTGGAACCTTATGTAGTACTTTTGCAATTTCCTGTGTATCTATAATTATTACAAAATAAAAAGATTTTTAAGATTGTCAGTTTGTGTCCATGTATTGTTTTATCTTACTGTTCTTGTATTTGTTAGGGACACGTTGTCTTAACAGATTTTGGGCTTTGTAAAGAAGGAATTGCTATCTCTGATACCACCACAACGTTTTGTGGGACACCAGAGGTAAGAAATATGTCTTGTCATTAGTAGAAAAATTTCTAAATGTAAATATGAACCATACATCCCATATACAAAATTGAAATAAAAGTAGAATAAAAACTGTCATTTCCTCTTTCAGCCTGCTGTACTTTAGACAATTAAGAGTTTATTGATAGTTGGTATTTTTCACTGAGATAGTTAAATCACAGGACTCTTTTGTATAATCCAAAAAAAGGTAAGTTATACTTATTTGTTTTTAGTTTTGAAAGTTTACCTTATATTTAGTATTTGATTATACTTCTAATCCTTTTTTTAAAAATCTAAAAATGTCAGAGTGGGGGTATGATTGTGGTGAAGGTTGCATAATACTATAAATATAATAGCCATTGAATCATGCACTTCAAAAAGGACTGAATTGTAGGGGGCGGTGCTGATTAAGGGGATGAACCCAACACAGCAACTGCTCTGTCACTGAGCTGCATCTCCTGGCTTCCCAGGATTTTGTTTTGTTTTGTTGTTTTTTGGGTTTTTTTGTTTGTTTTTTTAACTTCTGAGACAGGGTCTCACCAGTTACCCAGGCTAGTCTCGAACTTGTGATCGATCCTCCCAAGTCAGCCTCCGGTGTATCTGGGATTATAGGCATGTGCCACATATTTGGCATGACTCTTAATGTGGCTGTGGTTTGGTTTGGTTTGCATAAACTAAAGCAAATAGGGCAGAATATTAACATTGCCTACATCTGTGTAGCAGTTTTACTGGTTTCTATTATGCTTTTCTATATGGTTGGAATATTTTGTATTTAAATATTTAACAGAAAATAGGAAAAAATTACAAATCAATTTATTAACCAGTATATCTTTTCTTCAAGTCATCTAGGAGAAAATACATCTTTTTATTTGTGATATTAATAATTCTTACAACTTCTTTTAAAAGCTTATATTCACTTTGTACATACACACATACAAGTTGAGGATATTTTATAGTACCCTAATATTATTGTAATTTACAGTGATCTTAGGTGCCATGTAAAGTTATTATTATTGGAGTAATTGTAGATACAATGTTGAAAATATAACTTCAGTTTGATCCCAGCACCACAGAAGAATAAGAAAATATATGATAAAATGATTTACATAAACCTAATTAAGATCAGACAAAAGTATTAGTAATAATTATCTTGAAATATAGTTTTTTTCATTTCTTTTTCCCTTGTAACGCTAGTTCTTAAATATACTTGTAACCTTTCTGTTTTGATCTATGTTGAGAAGAAATGTGTGTGTGTGTATGTGTGTGGTAAACGCATACACACATGAATGTACAGTGTTTTCATAATTAAGAAAATCTTTAAGTCCTATAGTTTTTGGAGGTGGGTTACCAGGGATCGAACTTGGGACCTTGCACTTGCGAGGCAGGCGAGGACACCACTGAGCTAAATCCCTGGCCCTTAAGTCCTGTAGTTTTTAGAAAAGATACACAAGGTTTTATGGTCATTTAAAATTTAAATGTGGTGTGAAGATATTGTATATTTTGGAATCTAAAATTCAAATTCATCTATATGTGAAATCGGATGATTTTTCAGCCACCTAACAAACTTACATGGTTTTTTGGGGTTTTTTTTGTACCAGGGATTGAACTCAGGTCTTTGCGCTTGCAAGGCCGGCGGCAGAACCACTTTGCTAAATTCCCAGCCCCAAACTTACATGTTTTAAATTAAGTTTGAGGTTATATCTGAAATAGAATGCAATTCAGGCTTTTACTTTCACTGAAAAGAAAAAAATGGATTATAAATTGCCACATTAAGAATTATTTCTTAAACTGGGCCTGGGGTCATACATCTACATTCCCAGCTCCCAAGGAGGCTGAGGAAGGAGGATTACTGGAGCCCAGGAATTTCAGGCAATAGCACAAGGTCCCATCTCAGAAAAAAAGAATAAGAAAAAAATTCTTTCTTCAAGGAAAAAACATAAATTATGATCAGGTGAACGTCTAAAAATGTTATTCTGATGAAAGACTGTGTCTCAAAATAACTTCTTTAATCCTGCCTTTGCTGTCTTCTACATGTGGTATTCAACTAAGGACATCACCACTGAGCTAAATCCCTGGCTTTTTCTGTGTGTCTTAATTGAGTCTGTTTCTAGGGGAAGATAGATGCTTGAGTGTGTTTTGAAAAATATTCCAGTTGGCACTGCCTAAAAACCACTGTTTCATAATGAGAACACAACCCATTAAAGATCTAGAATTTTTAAAAAAATTTTAAGTGCTATAGATTGAAACCAGGGCCTTATTACATGCAAAGCAGGTACTCTGCCACTGAGCTACCCCCCAGCCCATGATAATGTTTTTAATATGATGTTACTGGATAATGTCCTGGGAGATTCCTCTAAAGAAGGAATGAGGACCTCAACTCATCTCTAGATGAGTTTGTCAACTCTTGTCACAGAAAAGCATTTCAGGATGTGTTAGTGTGAGGCATAAGAGAGTTAGAAAATAAGAGAAAATAGTGAAGGGATTTAAGCTTGAGGACCTAAAAGGGATACAGCTCTGATAAAAAGGATCAGACTAGCCTGTTTACAAAATAACAGACGAACTTTTATGGATTTGCTGGGGAGGACTCATCTGGTTGATCATTATCTCAGTTCTGTTTTGCAGATGGCACAGGGAAAAGTCCTTATTGCTTAAGAGGGTAGTTCAATCTCACTGAGATGATTATTTCTGCTTGAGCTAGTTGCAGTTTTGTGGAGGTGTTGCTGGAATCCAAATGACTGTAGGTTTAAAGCAATGATTACAGACTTCTGGGCACTCATTTGTAGTTGAGTGTCCCTATAAATCTCTTATCTTGGTGTTCCCCATCTTAAAGAGGAATAAGATGTAAATTTAGATCTAATCAACTTTGCCAGCCTTCAAGTGCTCATTTAATGATTAACATGTCTATATACAGAGCTGAGCAAGGATCTGACCCAGTTTTAAGGTAATAAATGAAGGTCAGGCATTTTTTTGGTTTTCATTTACCTATTGGGCATCTGTAGGTCACAATTAATATTTACAAATTTTTAACAAAAGTTGCTTTTAGGTCCCTAACTGCCTCAAAAGAAAACATACTTTTAACAAATAATAGGTCCTTTGTCGCTATTGTGGTTGCTGACTATCAGTAACACAGAAAATTTGTTAGATTTCTCAGTTATTCCTGAATTTTACCCTGAGTTTTACTGTTACTGTGTTTCATTCTTTTCTACAGTACCTTGCACCTGAAGTAATCAGGAAACAGCCTTATGACAACACTGTGGATTGGTGGTGCCTTGGTGCTGTTCTGTATGAAATGCTCTACGGATTGGTATGCATTTCTGTTTGATTATTGCTCCAGTACATTGTCAGTGATTTGGCACACAGCCTTTCTCACTCTTTAAGATCTCACAGAGGGGCCGGGATTTAGCTCAGTGGTTCCAGTGCCTGCTTTTGTAAGCGCAGGGACCTGAGTTTGATCCCTGGTACCCCCCCCAAAAAAAAATTTGGGCCAGGGATTTAGCTCAGTGGTTCAGTGGATCTCACAGATACTTAGATAACACTAACAGGAGTAATCATCTGGTTAAATGAATTTAAAACCACCTTAGAAATATGTACTAGAAGAAAAGCTTCATTTTGCTACTAATTTTTTAAAGTAGTATAATTACTTTGCCATACTGATAACTACCATTAGGTATTTTCATTCCACTGGCATTTTTAAAAATACAGTAGACGCCTAGTTATTTCACTAAAATGATGTGTTTTCAATTTATTGCAAACAACCTCTACGTAATTTCAAAAAGGTTTTTGGATTTGTCAACATATTATTATATTTAAAAAGATAATGTTCTTTGATTTTTGCCTTTTGTTTTTATAGGATTTAATATACTACTGCTTAGCTTTTTTAAAAAATCACTGGATATCTCCTATTTCTTTCCCTGAAAACACCATGTCTTAATGATGTCATTGAAAGAAAAAAAGAAATGTTTACTGTGCAATGGACTTGCCCAGTTTTTATTAAGTAAAAACACATAAGGCCAGCCAGAAATGAGGAACATTGTATTGCTCTGTTGAGATGGTATCTCTCCAACCCAAAGCAAACATTTTTGACTTGTTACTTAGTTTACCTATCTTTATAAAATAGATCATGTTTTTTTCTCTGGGTGTTTTGAAATATTTGAAATAATTTCTTAGACTCCTTTTGTGATTCCATAAGTATCCAGAAGCTGTAATCTGAGGTTACTGCCAACACTGATACTAAATGCTACTATCAGTTAAGACCTGAGCAAGTGTTTGTTTTTCCTACAAACTGTGGAGCTCTCAGTGAAGTGTTCAGCACATGAGATCCATTTTAGAGCATTTGTTTCATATCACTAATTTTGCATGGTACATTCCTGTGAAAGCCAACACCGTCTTTTCCCTAACTATGATCACCTTGTAAAAGGAGTTACTTTTCTAATAATACTAGTGATTTAGAACACTGGATAATCATTTTATATCTTTCTTTCTTCAGGCACTGACTACCATTTGCTATTTCAGAATTCTCTGTATTTCTTTAGAGGATTTTGAAAGTATAAAATGAAGTTATATTTTTAAAAGTAAAGTTATTTTCTCAGGAAAAAGAAAAGGGAAGCTGGGGATTTAGCTCATTGGTTCCACCACCTGCCTCCCAAGTGCAAGGACCTGAGTTTGATCCCTGGAACACCCCCCCAAAAGAAAAAGAAAAGGAAAGTGATGTGCCTGTAAAACTCCCTTAGCATTAAAATTATTTTTACTTTAAAACTTTTAACTGATTATTAAATGGCTAATGCTTATGTTGAAGCTACTCATCTTGCTTAGGCTATGACAGTACCATTTTTAGTAACTTAAAGTACTCTCAATACTTTTACTGACACAAGTACTTAGGAAGGAATATTGTCTTCAAGTCTCATCTTTTTTTAGATATTTTTGCTTTAATGCATTTATTCCCAAATCTCAAAAAGTTATTTAATGTTTCATTTGTCTTGAAAATCTGTTTGCAGTGATTCTATCATTATACCTATGATAAGGTTGGTGGTTGTTTTCTCTAAAACATACTTTTACAAGTTATTTGTAGTTTAATGCCTGTTTACAAAGTGCTATTGAAGAAACCTTAATTCACTCAGTGAACACTTACTAAGCTTTATTGTGTGCCAGGTTTTAGAATTCCTGTGCATCATGAGACCGTGCTGCAGGTGTCTGCACATCCCATCAGGGCCATCCCTTGCTGCAGCTATTCAGACCCAAATACTGCCTGCCAGTCAAAGCCAAGTCTTACTATTATAAAACCATTTTGGCATAATTCACTAACTGCTGTTTCTTTATTTTGCTTTTCTCCTTTTTAGCCACCTTTTTACTGTCGAGATGTTGCTGAAATGTATGATAATATTCTTCACAAGCCTCTAAATTTGAGGCCAGGAGTGAGCCTCACAGCCTGGTCCATCCTGGAAGAACTCTTAGAAAAAGACAGGCAAAATAGACTTGGTGCCAAAGAAGACTTTGTATGTAACATGTTTCCCAGTTCCAGCTTTATTTAAACTTATTTAAAATTTGGAGATAAATCCTTATTATATATGGCATTTATTGGAATGAATATAGCTTTTTAAAGAATAGAACAATTGAAAACACATGCTTTTCATCACAATTTTCACTAGTGCTCATATAAAACTATACAGTATTTAAAGCATTTTCACTTACATTTTTTATTTGATGTTTATAATTTGAACTTCTGCTCTTTATACCCCCATATCCAGTTTTCACATCATTATTTGATTTTCATTTATAACAATTTCCTCCCTTTAAAAAAAATTTGTAGTATATATTAACTACCTATATTTTTTTGTCAATTTAATTTTTATTGCTAAATAATAACAGAATTTCTGTGAACTTTTAACACAGAGACTAACCAAATAGCATGGTTTTTTTTAGGGTGTAGGGCCATATAAACTTTTAAAATATTTTCTTTAATAAGAATTTTTAAAATTCCTTTTTGCCTTTTGCCTCAAACTAATATTAAATCACTATTCTTGTTTTTGTTTTTGAGAATTTGGTAATACCTCCTTGAAATAATTATGAAATCTGATTTTTTGTTGTTTTAAATCAGGGTAATTAATTTGCTACTATTATTATCAGTATTATTCTGCCACTGTTTTCCTGTTCCTCTCACTCTTCAGTTAAGCAGGTAACTCTGCCAGCAGTTTCCTATTCAGGATGCTAATATTTTACACCTCCATGTCCTTCAGTTCTTTTATTGAATTCACTATCAGGAATTGAATAAATGCAACTGTCACATATCCTGGGCTGCTGACAGTGCTAAAGAAAGCACCATCTGGGGGTAGTGGAAGCACTGTAATGTCATGGTCATGAGCCTCTTTGTGTTCCTCCATTCAGCTTATTCTGCTACTCTCTATATAGTTAACTATTTTAAACTTCTCTCCAAGCTTTCAATTTCCTTTTGGGTTTTGCATTTTACTTTTTCTATCACTAGAGATCACCCTGTGTTTCCTTTTCTGAAAACACTTCATCTTAAAGATTCATTTTAAAAAAGGGTTATGTTTACTTTGCTATATAAACTGTTTCTCAGTTTTCACTAGTTAAAGATACATAAGGCGGGGGCCGGGGGTTTAGCTCAGTGGTTCCGCCACCTGACTCACAAGTGCAAGGTCCTGAGTTCCATCCCTGGTACCATCCCCCACCACCAAAAAAAAGATACATAAAGCCAGCCAGAGCCTCTGATTAACTTGAGGAAAGTTGTATTCATTACTACATTGACTAATACTGTTCCAACTCAAAGCAAACAACCTAGCATTTTAGTTAGTTTACATACCTATAGAAGAATAAATGTTAGCTTGGAGGTATATGTCATTGGTGGAGCACTTGCCATTGTACTTGCCATAGCTTGTGTAAGGCTCTAGGTTGAATCACCAGCACTACCACAAGAAAAAAGTAAATGCATATCATTCTTAAGGTTTTTTGAAATATTTTTAATAGCCCATCTCCTGCAATAGATAATCTTGCTTTTTATTTTATAGGGAAAATAGACCATTCAGAGAACTGACCGAGCTTCCTGCTATCAGTCTTGCGGACTTTGCCTTTACTTGTACCTATCATTCTTTCTGTTACAGTGGGAAGAGTCCATATTCACCTAGTATTGGATCCCTGTCACCTTCCATGAATACTGTACATGCCCTTTACTCTATCAGTAGCCATTCCCTTTTGTTCTGGTTTCTTCCATTTGAATATTAAACCTTGCCAGCCATGGTGGTACACACCTATAATCCCAGCATTCTGGGAGGCTGAGACAGGAGAATCACGTTTGAGCCCAGCATGGGAAAACAAGTGCCCAACTTTGTTAAGTGACTTAACAAACTGTATCAGAACAAGAAAATAAAGGGCTGGGTACATAGCTTAGTAACCCTGGGTTCAATCCTCACTACTGCTACAAGTAAACACATAAATAAAATAAACATTGTCAAGTATCCTGCTATTTAAGCTAAAAATTTTCAGCCCTGCTGTCCTGTTAGGTACCTTCTTCCCTTCTCTCCCAAACTTGTTGAAAAGTTTCCACATTCACTCTTCCTTTACCAGCCTCTTCTCGGTCTATAACAAAATAGCTAGCTGAATTGCTAGATTTTTCTGTTTGCTCTCAAAGCCATGTTTTTAACTCGCAATACTCTTCAGTTCCCTAGGTTCCAACTGAAGCATACACTCTTCCTTTTTTTTCTCAATTTTTATTTTTTTATATCTTTTTTCTGTTTTTGTTTTTGAGACAAGATCATGCTATGCAATTCAGACTAGCCTTCAACTCATTATGTAGCCCAGGCTGGCCCTGAACTCGGGTTGATACTTCTGCCTCATCCTCACAAGTGCTGGGACTACAGGCATGCATCACAAGTGGCCTCAATTTTGATTTTTTTATTAGTGTATGTTTACATTACATAATATTACATTTCTCATAGGGTGTTAATACATGTACATGTTAAAACCTTAATTATTTTTTCATACCCTATCTCCATGACCCCTTCTCCCTTTTGCAAAAGATAGATCTCCCTATTTCCTATTGTCTATCTTTTATTTTGTTCTTTGTTTATATTTGCAGTTTCTCATATAAAAGACACCATGTGAAATTTAAGCTTGTAGTCTCTTATTTCACTTAACATTATAGTGTCAGGGTGTATCCATTTTCCTATAAATGACTGAAGTTTATACTTCTTGGTTGCAGAGTAATTGTCTTTGAAAGGTTTGCACTATTGATAGTCTTTAACCATTTTGCAACATGAATGATATACACATGTACCTAAAAGAATTATTGAGAAGCATAATGACAAAATGGTTTGGACTCAGAACTTTTTGGTGAGTAATATATTCTTCATCATTAATAAAAAATTTTTGTTCTTAATATTCTAGCTTGAAATTCAGAATCATCCTTTTTTTGAATCACTCAGCTGGACTGACCTTGTACAAAAGAGGATTCCACCACCCTTTAATCCTAATGTGGTAAGTGTATACCCAAATCTTCCTAAAAATAATGAGACAGAACTGTAGCTCATTATACTTTTGAGAAATTGATCTCAAAATCTAACCTGAATGAAATGGCATCATTATGTATTTGTGATATGTCACTCAGGGTGACATATATACTTCAGGATGATATAAGAACTTCAAGATGACCAATAAGAATACAGTTAGGTTAGGTTGATGAAAATCTTTTAGCACAGTAATTATGAAATGTATTTTTGGAACTTGCATAAGAAAGGGATGAGCTCAGTAAGTAAAAAAAGGTGCAGATTATTGTCATTTTTATACATACAAAATCAACATGTAACACTTTTTTCTAGATTAATGTAAAATCAGGTACAAGCAAACATTTTTAATAACAAATGGTTACTTTTTTGGAAAATAGTAAGATAATATAATAATATTTATGTTAACTAGACTTGTTTTTTTGTTTAAGCTTGACTTGTTTTAAAAATTATAATAGATGTGTTTTACATAATTGACCCTAAAAGTGTGTGTATATGTATATATTTTTTTTAGTTAAAGGAAGATGTAGAAATCAACTCATAAAGTAAACATAATTTGCTCTATTTGTGCTTTGTTAAAAGTTTCTGTGCATCGCTCAGACCTGATATTAATAGATGTGACATTTTATATCTATAAACATAACAATATTTATAAACTGTTTTATTGTGGGTAGTCCAGAAGTATAGTTTCAGAGATAACTTACTCTATTTAGGGGCAGTTTTATCCTAGTTTCTAGAATTTGTACTTCTTGTTGACTATACTTATAGAAAAAGAAACAAACTAATATAAAGCTAAGGTGATTTACATAAAACAGCCAGACTTCAGAAAGCCCACTGTATTAGTCAGCTTTCCCATCACTTGAACAAAATACCTGACATCTTCAATTTAAATGAGAGATTTAAATTGGCTCATATTTCAGAGAATTAGGTCCGTAGTTGTTTGGCTTCGAGGTAGGGACGGCGTGGAGTATGGTGGAGGAAACTGGAAACAAGAATATACCCTTTCAGGTCATGCCTCCAGTGACCTACCTGCAGCCAGACACCAACTTCTAACACGTGAGACTTGTGGGGGACATTTTATAAATCTAAACCATAACACCATGCTTCTAGGATTATATTTAAAATTTTTATGAGATGGAAATTTAACTTTCTTGGCAGTGCTAAGGATTAAACCCAGGGCCTTATGCACATTGGTCAAGTACTCTACTAACTGATCTACACATCCAGCCTGAATAATACTTTAATTAAATTTCTTTCAACACTAAATTATTTTATGCTATAGTTTCTAGAATTCTTTGTCCTCTGTAGAGACTTTTCTTGTATGGAAGGACCTAGCATTCTGGGATATTTAGATATAAATGCTAATATCCTTGATTTACAATCTCTGCTCTGAATCTTTATCTGTTCACCTTAGTTAGACTCGTGATTTGGACATTTTAAGGATTCCTTTCTCTGTAGAGCAGAAATAACCTGGAGATTCAAGGGTGATCTTTACAAATGAATCACTTGAATTCATATCCAATTTTTATATGTAAATATACTTAAAGGGAAAAATCTTGCATCAGAGTCCTAGGAAGAACCATTATATTTGAGCCTAAGCATCCACCTTACTTCATTTTCCATGAACCTGGTTCCCATGGTCCTCCACAGTCAAGGATGTTCTAAACAAGTGTTTCGTAACCTTTGTAGCCCAGTAAGAGTAACCTTCACTTATATACCCTTCCTTCCTCCATCAGAAGGTTTCACCCATCTAGAATTGAGAAACTGGATAGGCATGTATTTATTCAAGCCCAGATGCAAAATGCTATCCTGAAAACCTGAGCCCTGCTTTTGAACATCAGGTTGGTGATGAGAGAAAGAGTATCAATTACAGGATCTGATTCAAATTAGCCTAGGTCAGGCTACTATGGTGCTAGCTAGTTCTTCTCACCATTATCTCTCTTCTGCACCCAAAAGTAAGAACTTTAACTGTCAGAACAGATAACTTCACCTAAATAATAAAAATTAGGAAAAGAAAGGCAAAAAAATGAAATAGGAAGATTACCTAATCTTGCTAGGAAAAAAGTATACAAAGTCACAATGACTTTTTAATGAAGGACTGAGTTAATGATAGAAAAGCTAAAGTAAATAATATTATGCCTTTGCTGTTTTAGGCTGGCCCAGATGATATCAGGAACTTTGACACAGTATTTACAGAGGAAACAGTTCCATATTCTGTGTGTGTGTCTTCTGACTACTCTATCGTGAATGCCAGTGTACTGGAGGCAGATGATGCATTCGTTGGTTTCTCTTATGCACCTCCTTCAGAAGACTTATTTTTATGAACAGTTTGCAATTCAGAACCAAGCAAATACAAGCCTGCAGATGGGACTGAAATTCCTATTTGTGTGAATATATTCAAATATGTATAACAGTGCCTCATTTTTATATGTAATGTTTAAAACTATGAAAAATATTTTCTGTATGCAAGGAAATAGGGCATTTCAAAGAGCTATGTTTTGAATTAAAATTTGTATTCTTGTTTACTAAGCTTTTTTAAACAAAATTTAAAATCTGTTGTTCTTAGCATTAACCTATTTTTAAAGAAAACTTTTCTGCTATTGACTGTTTCTCTCTTAAGTTTACATTAACATGCCCAAGATAGACTGTTTTTTTAACAATCTCTTTCAGTTCATTTAACATATATTAATACCTTTGTAACTCTACTATGACTTTTGTTATTGTATCAGAACTATGCAATTGGTACATAGTTGTTTAAAAAGAAACCATATCTTTCTATGGTAAATTGGTGTTTGAAATAAAAAGTCTTGGTGTAGAATTAAAATATAAAAGCATGTTAACACATTGGTTGTTAACACTGAATAAGTATTCTTTTTGCAGATAAGTAACAAAAGGAAATAATTTGCTTTTGAAATACCAGTTCAAATTTGTGATTTTTTTTTTTTGGTCTGGAGGAAAAGAAGAAAGTTAATGGTTAGAAATTTAAGACTTCCCAAAGATTTGAAGGGTAATAAAGTACTGCTAGATTTTTTTTTTTCAGGTGGGGCCAAAAATGAGTGTTTCTGTGTTATATATTTATATTATAAATATATTCTATTTATGTTCCTTTGGTGTTTTTAATATTTGATACACTGTTAAGTAGGTCTGAATCTTGATATTTGCTTATGCAAATAGCTATTTCAAAACTATTTGGTTAAGTAAAAAGATCTTTCTAGAATACCTAATTTAAAATTTAAAAGTAAAATAACAAATCTGGATCAATGTAGAACAGTTCTACTATAACAAGAGTTAAAAATAATTTATGCAGTTTCATATGCAGTATCTTTTTTTTTTCTTTTTTGGTATTTCTGGGGATCAAACCCAGAGCCTTGAACATACAAAGGATGCATGCATTCTACCACTAAATTATAGCCCTAATCCATCAGTATATTTTGAGTCTTATAAAAAGTACATAAAACTGAACTTAGAAATCATAGCATACCAGTTAACTCGTTCCTTTTCAAGTCATATAGGAAATAGTAGTATAAAGGTTTAGTGAGTCAGTTTAGATGCTCTAAGAACAAATTTCCCTTCAATGTATTCACTTCAGAGAAATCACAAAGGCATTTCTCACCCATATCCTTTGGCTTAAAAATATTCCTCAGAATTGGGGAAGGGGGGTACTTTTGTTCAATTAATATTTACATCTAATACACTGAATCTTCCTTTAGAGGTAAGACTTTAATATCTACACTGTAAATATTTGGTTTGTTTGGCACTACTGTAAGTTCTGCTTTTAAACAAAACTCTTTGTTCATTATAAATCAAGATTAAAAACTAGCTTCTTGTATGATTTTTTTACTTAGATACTCCTTAAACTACCCCAAATTAAAGTGCAATACTGTATATTTCTAAGGACAAATATAAAATAGAATTTTGATGTTTCTTGGATCATCAGAAATACAGATTCATATAGTATAATAAAATTAGCAAAAAGATTAATGATCATCAAATGCCTGTTATTTGAAATTAAAATTGATAGTGGTTACAGTAATCATTACAAAGTAAATTACATATTTAAGGGGGAAAAGTGTAAAATTTTAACAAACTATTTGCTCTCCCATCCGAGTACTAACTAGGCCCAACCCTGATTAGCCTCTGAGATTAGACGAGATCGGGCATGTTCAGCTTGGTGTGGCTGTAGACTAACAAACTATTTGGACAAATTACTAGATTATTATAAGGCTAATAGGTGTTTTATCTTGGGACAAAATTTCTTCAAAGTATCAAATTTATCTTTTCTCTCATAGCATTAATATTTCAGTAAAGTATATGCTCCTTGAATAGTTGAACTAATTCACGGTATTTACCAAAATAAAGGTCTAAATGAAGATTTCCATGACTAATATCTGCAGTTTGGAAGTTAGCTCTGTTTTTGAAATGGGATTTCTTGCCACTTCAAGAAAAGTTTTTACTTATACTGGTTTTTACAGATTATCCCACTTCCAATATGAATATAACAGTCTGGTGAGGATCCTTTTTCATAGATAGAGCCTTCTTACTGTGTCCTTGTGGGGTTGGAAGAGGCTGATTTTCTGGGTTCTCTTAAAGGCACTAAACCAATCACCTCCCAAAGCTCTACCTTTCAACATTATTAAGGATTAGATTGCAACATGAATACAGTGAAGATGCAAACATTCAGAACATAGCAGTATGAAACACACAAGTGAGTTTCAGATGACTTAAGTATCTTGATAAGCCAGTTTTTGTATAAATGAGATTAACAGGGACAGAGTAAAGAGTATTACATAGCTTTTATTAAGTGTAAAAGGATTCTTGTATATAAAAATATTGGAGTTCTTTACTAAAATAATATGAATGGAAATTGCTTTTAATTTCCCTGATAGCATTCCATTTGGAGATTATTTATGTAGCACTTTTGGTTTCTTGTGAATGCTATGTAATTATCCATTTGAACCCATTGAACAGTCGTCACTAACCAAAAAGACCACTACACAAGAATATTTCTCAGTTCACTACTTCTTTGTATTCCCATTTGTATGAAGGTAATGAAATCAGAATAATTGTTGAGCTTTCTTAAAATGTTTTTGTTTTGTTTTGTGTTTTGTACTGGGAATCTAACTCGGGTCCTTGCGCTTGCAAGGCAGATTCTGGAACCACTGAGCTAAATCCCCAGCTCCTTAAGATATATTTTTTAATTTACTCATTTAACAGTTTAAAGCAGTAGTACACAAGCGAATAGAGAATTATAAATTGAAAATGATTTATAGCGACGAAGTAGCTAAAGAACCCTACAAATGAAAAGTGATTTATTTGTATATATTGGATCGAAAATAATGTCACCGTTGTTGAATATTAAAGGAATTGATATGTGAGTATTAAGGAATAATATAAACATATCACTCTGCAACCCCTTTTACTGAAAAAGACACATCTGGTAGTTTACAAAAATCTTGGGTTCAATTTCAACTTATAAATGTTCACTATAAATTCTCTTGCAGGAAGGTATCTCAGGTTCATCTCTGTTGGATTCCTTTTCCTTCCCTCTCCAGGTCTTTTTACATAATAATTAATGTAGCTTTGTTGTGCTGAATTTTTCTCTGACTCAATAAATAATGTAAAAATTACAGTTGAAGAGCTGAGATTGTCCCTTAGTGCTAGAGTTCTTGCCTAGTATGTGAGAGACCCTGAATTCATTCATTAACACTTAAAATCAACGATACACTGAAGTGGAACACTAACAGCTACCCACCTCCCCACCACCACCACCAATACTGAGGATTGAACCCAGGGTCTCACTAGGTATGCTAGGCAAACGCTCTGGTGAGGTGCGTGGACCGCCCTATCCCAGCAGCCCCTACGCGCACGCATGCGCACCAGTGAAGGTCTCGCCAGGCCCGCTGCCTTCAGCTGTCGGTGCTTGAGGTGATACGAGACCCGCCTGGCCTGGTGGGTGCCAGGTCAGTAGAAAGGTTACCCCTGGTGGTGGGAAGGGTCCCGGATCCTCGCGTGGTGGTGCCGCATTCGTGGTCACCTGCTTCGGTTGTGAGATGTGTTCCTGCTGTTGTCTCCTCGGCGGTTTATCCCAGGGGCTAACAAGGCGTCCCAATCCGCGCCCCTTCAAGTGAATCTTGGCGTTTTAGACCCTGGGAGAACTTAAAGAATTACTGTAGAATTTTATCCCTGTTCACTTATTTAGTACTTTTCCACAGGCTTCTGTGTCCCTTGCATTCACTCCCCAGGACTTCCCGTGGTATGGGGGTAGCCGGACTTTAAGCTCCAGTTCTTTTGACGCTACTGAACTCCAGCACTGCCTCGTGTTGCCTCGTGCTTGTTGTCTGTGGTGGGCGTGGGGGCCTTTCACAAGCCCATTGGAGTCAGGATATGGCAAATGAAAGTGACCTCATCAGTTCCCTGCACTTCTGGATTCATATTTCTTTGTAGCAGCAGCACCTACTCACTTTTAAAACCCCCATTTAGTACCCGGACCTGGTGGGACACGCCTGTAATCCCACCATTTTAGGAGGATGAGGCAGAAGGACCATAAACTCAAGAACACCCTGGCCATTTAGGGTCTTCGGGAAGTTCTACTCAAAATTTAAAGAGAAGATGGGGCTGGGGATGTAGCTCAATGCGAAGGTTCTATCACCAATACCCCCCAAAAAAACTTTTTAATTTCTTTGCCTACATTGTACAAACTAATCACCAAGTCCAACATGGAAATTTCTGTATTCGTTTGTCCCCTAATGCTCTAGATCCATCCCTTAAGAACGTTGCAATAGTTTGAACCTATTTTCCACACTGGTCGCATGTGCTGATTTGCAAACTAAAAATCTGATCACAAATCCTCTTTGTTTAAAACAAACAAAACTCAAGATTTGTAGCCTTCTATTCTTCTATATAGTCATTATAGACTTCAAAACTTTCATAACTATCCTCATTGAACCATTTCATTATTAATAGCTTCTATTCAACTTCAGAAACCTAATGTTTTAGTAAAACAAATGCAATGTCCCAAACACGACACGTATTTAAAGATTAATTGTACTTGTAACCACAGAGGAACAGACTCTGAATTTTCAGCCCTATTAATAGCAAAAAAGGGGGGGATATAGATTCAGTAGTGGAAGACTCAGTGGAAGCTAGTGGTACTTACCCCTTTCTCTGGAAACTTTCCCTTCTTTAATTAGAGAGATACATCTACCAAATGTCACCTTTAAAACAGAATTCATAGCTTCTCAATGATTCCACTATCTTCAATCAAAATGTCCTAAAACAATGGAAAATATGACCTATACACAAAGATGATCCCAAATATTATGAAATATTTTACATATGCTGCTCCCTCCATGTGCCCTAGAATATTCCTATTTGTTATAGCACTTAAGTAATCACATAAGTGTTTCCACATAATATCTTCCCTCATTGTCTATACTCTGTCCAAAGGATAGGAACAGCATTGTACTCATCTCTGTATCCTTAGTGCCTAGGGTAGTTTGGTTTTCCAACAAATAGTGCCAAATAATTGATAATTATAACTATATTACTCATTTCTGACTTCCCTAAATCGGCATCTTCTTGAAGATTAAGATCCAATCTTGAATCATCTTTTCCTAATACATATTGTAATTACTATATAGCATATATTGTTTGTTTCCAATTGGTGTTTTGTTCTGTCTTAAATGTTTCATATTCCACGCTGCTTATAACTTTGTTTCTGTTGTTTTCCTTTTATTTTTTCTTTCCCCTTCTTACCTTTTCCCTACCCCTCCCACTTGCCCGACACCTTTAGACCTTTTTTCCTATTACACAATATCAATTATACATTTTGATCCTTATTTACACTTTTAGTTTATCACACCAGAGAAACTTCAGTGTTTGCACGTGTGTCCTATTAATTTCACTTGAGCACATGGCCTCAGTGTGCATCCACTTAGCTGTGAATGTCTCTAGCTTCTTGTTCTTTATGGCTGAGTAGTACCCCATTTTATATTTAAAAAAAAAATCTTTATCCAGCCTCCACTTGATGGGCAGTTGGGCTGTTTCCAAATTTTAGCTATTACAAACTGTGCCACTATAAACATGGGTGAGCTTATATCACTGTGGTATGATGCTTTTAATTCTTTTGGAAAGATACCCAGCAGGGAAATAGCTGGGTCAAATGGGACTTCTAATCCCAGTTGTTTAAGGTATCTCCATATTGATTTCCACAGTGGTTGCACCAGTCTGCACTCCTAGCAACAATGAAGAAGGGTTCCTTTCTCCCCACAATCCCACAAACATTTGTTATTGGTTGATTTCTTGATAGCAGCCATTCTTTCTGTGGTGAAGTGGAATCTCAGTGTTGTTTTCATCTGCACCTCTCAAATGACCCATGGATGTTGAACATGTTTTCATGTTTATTTGCTTTTACTTCTTTGTTTGAGAAATGTCTGTTCATTTCAGATGCCCATTTTGAATTGGGTTTTTTAATTTGGGGGTCTGATTTTTTTGAGTTCTTTATATATTCTGGATAGTAGACCTTTATCTGAGGAACAGCTGGTAAAAAATTTTTCCCACATTGTACATTGTCTCTTAGCTCTGTTGGTGGTTTCTTTTGCAGTACAGAAGCTTTTTAAAAAGATGAGATCCCAGTTGTTGATTCCTTGTGCAAGTTCCTGTGTTACTGAGGATTTATTCATTAAGTCTTCTCTATGCCAATGTCTTCAAGAGTTCTACCTAACTTATCTTCCAACAAGTGTAGTGTTTCTGTTTTAGTATTAAGATCTTGAATCCATTTGGATTTTAGTTTAATGCATGGTGAAAGATAGAGGTCTAGTTTTAATCTTTGGCAAGTTGAATTCCAGTTTATCAAACACCATTTATTAAAGAGGCTATCTTTCCTACAGTGAAGATGGTTGGCTCTTTTGTCAAGGATGAGGTAGCTGAGTATACCTGGATTTGTTCTGCATATTCTAATCTATTCCACTAATCCTCAGGTCTGTTTCTTTGACAGTACCATGGTTCTTTTTAATCACAGTGGCTTGGTAGTATAGCTTCAAGTTGGAGACTGTGATACCCTCTGCCATGTCCCTGTTGCCTAGAATGGCTTTTGCTACTCTAGGTCTTGTGGTTCCAAATGAATTTTTGTATTGTTTTCTCTAGTTCAGTGAAATATACTGTTGGGATTGTATTGAATCTGTATAGCAGTTTTGGTAGTATTGCCATTTTCACTATATTGATTCTTCTTACCCAGGAACAAAGGATGTCTTTCCATTTTCTTATATCCTCTTCGATCTCTTTTTTTCAGAGTATTATAATTCTCAATGTAGAGGTCTTTTGCTTCCCTAGATATTTCATTGTTTTGGATGATATTGTGAAAGGGGTTGTTTCCCTAATTTCGCTCTTAGTGATTCTGTTATTTGTGTACAAGAAGGCTATGATTTTTGAATGTTTACCTCCTATCCAGCTACTCTACTGAACCTGTCAATTAAGTCTAGAAGTATTTTGGTGGAGTATTTTGGGGTCTTCTATGTAGAGTATCATATCGTCAGCAAATAGTTTAACTTCTTCCTCTCCTATCTTTATTGCTTTTATTTATTTCTCTTGTCTAATTGCTACGGCCAATGTTTCCAAAACTATATTGAACAGGAGTGGTGATAGTAGACATCCTTGTCTTTTTCCTGATTTTAGTGTGAAGGTTTTCAGTTTTTGACCATTTAGTGTGATGTTGGCTGTTGGTTTTTCAAACGTAGCCTTTATCGAGTTGAGATAAAGACCATCTATTCCAATTTTCTGTAGGGTTTTTAACATAAATGGGTGTTGATTTTGTCAAATGTTTTTTCTTCATCTATTGAGATGATCATATAGTTTTTGTCTTTGACTCTGTTAATATAGTGTAGTACATTTATTGATTTACATATGTTGATCCACCCTTGCATCCCTGGGATAAATCCAGTATGGTCAGGATGTATGATCTTCCTAATGACTCTGTATTCTGTTTGGCAGTATCTTATTGAGGATTTTTGCATCTATGTTCATTAGGTAGATTGGCCTGTAGTTCTCTTTTTTTGGTTGGGTCTTTCTCTGGCTTTGGAATCAAAGTAATAATACTTGCTTCTAGGAATGAATTTGGAAGAATTGATTCCCTTTCAATTTAATTGAAAGGT